ACACCTCAGGCAGAGTTTCCCATTCATTCTTCTGGCGTATTCTTCCTTAGACAGGTTCACAGCAGGTCTTGCTCTTGATTTGTCTAACTCCATTGGCTTGCCTGGCGGCAATGCTCAACTCTCTCCTCGAGTTGCTTGTGGTTTGAAGGTCCCGTCCACATTCCTGGATGATTGGACCACCCTGTGAGCTATAGTGTTTTTCGAGTTGCTTCGAACCATGTTTAATTTGCTTTCTTTATCGATTGCCCATCTTGCAAATCATTCGGCTGTTATATAGCGCAGGTCGGAGATTCCCCATGCCTCTCGAAGTCTCTTACTGCAGTTTTGCAGGAAGATGATGTAGAGAGTAGCATCATCAAACTCAGCCTCGTATTCCAATAGTCGGCATTCATTCCAGTATGCCGAGAATGTTTGTTTTCCTTATTGGAGTTTTTCTAACTTTCGTCTTGCTGTTTCTTTGGTGTTGGGATTTCCGAATTGTTCGAAGAGTATCGCCTTGAACTCTTCGTATGTGACCCATTCCCTCTGCTTCCTTCCATCTTGGAAAGGCATGATCCATTGTCCCGCAAGTCCCCTGAGTAGAGATTCCACGTATGGAATCTTGATCTCATCATGGTAATCTCCATATCCCTTGATGGCAAAATATCCTTCACATTGCGCTAAGAATATTTGTAGCTTGTCTTCAGCTCCTTCGTATGTGTCAGGCTCCTTTGCTTTCGATTTTTGGATATTTCCTTGCCCTGTATTTCGTGTGGCTGTGAGAAATGCCTGAAACTGATTTTCAGTCATTCTAAGTATACTAGTTCCTGGTGCCGGAGCGGCTGGGACCGGTGGCCCAGGTACTGCGGATCCCAACATTCTCTCGGGTCGTGGAGTTCCTGCAGGAGAGCTATCGACTAGTGATCCTTTCTCTGGGGTTACTGGGCTTACTGCTCTCAAGGGTTCTGCTGAGACGTGATCTAAGGTGTCGCTGAATCCTCCTAGGTTAAGGTTTTGATTGTCGATGTCGATATCTCCTTCCCTGTCTGGATTGAAGGATGCCATCTTGTATTATTTGATGTCGCCCTTAGGTGACGCTTTGTAATGTAATGATCCCTCTCTGGATAGTTAGTTCTTGGCGACGGGGAACGATACTTCTCTGTCTGTCTTCTTCTTTCTTTATCTTACGATAGCCCTAGGCCTCTGCCTACGTCACCGATAGTATAAGACTTTTATCCTCTATCAGGAACATCTATCGTAAGCTTTCTCTAACTCATCTTTGTGAAGGACTTTTCTTGGCATAACAATAACAGTGCAATAAAGATAAAGATCGTAAAGATGTTTTATATTCATTAAAGTAATAAGTAGGAAAAGTACTTAGAACAAAGCGTGAAGAACCTATCTTCCTCGGCCACCTCGGCCTCCTTATATAGTATTCTTCCCGCCCCTAGTCATGTGACCTAAAGTGGTCACATGTGCAAAACCAAATCATAACAAACTAGTCATATGACCAAAGTGATCACATGCTCAAAATCCATAACCTCATAACGAGGTTATGTGTAAAACTCATAAACCAATCATAACACAATAAACAAGTCATATGACTTATCTGAGTCATATGCACGAAACCCATGACCTCATAATGAGGTCATGTGTAAAACATAAATCATATGCGCAAGGCTTACCCGCAAGGCACACTCGCAAGGTATATTCGCCAAGCGCACGTCCCATGACTCATACTTGAGCCATGTGCAAAAGCATCACAAATCCCACACATAACAAATCATATAACTGTAACGATCCCTTTTTAGATAGTTAGTTCTTGGCGACGGGGAACAATACTTATCTATTCTGTCTCCTTCTTTCTTTATCTTATGATAGCTCTAGGCCGCTACCTACGTTACCGATAGTACAAGACCTTTGTCTTCTATCGGAAACGCCTATCGTAAGCTTTCTCTAACTCGTCTTCATGACGAGCTCTTCTTGTCGTAATGATATTGTTGCAATAAAGATAAAGATCGTAAAGGTGTTTTATATTCATTAAAGTAATAAGTAGGAAAAGTACTTAGAATAAAGCATGAAGAACCTATCTTCCTCGGCCGCATTGGCCTCCTTATATAGTGTTCTTCCCGCCTTTAGTCATGTGACCTAAAGTGATCACATGTGCGAAACTAAATCATAACAAACTAGTCATATGACTAAAGTGATCACATGCTCAAAACCAATGACCTCATAGCGAGGTCATGTGCGAAACTCATAAGCCAATCATAACGCAATAAACAAGTCATATGACTCGACTGAGTCATATGCACGAAACCCATGACATCATAATGAGTTCATGTGCGAAACATAAATCATATGCGCAAGGCTTACCCGTAAGGCACACTCATCAGGCACATGTCCCATGACTCATACTTGAGCCATGTGCGAAAGCATCACAAATCCCACACATAACTAATCATATAACCCGAATAGGTCATATGCGTGAAACGATAACATACCTGTAGCTCATAACCATGTATCACGTGAAAACCCTTTCCTCGCTAAGCCACGTTCGTGACATTAACCCAAATGGGTCATATATGTAAAACAATAACATACCTGTGACTCATAACCATGTGTCACGTGAAAACCTTTTTCATGCCAAGTCACGTTCGTGACAGAAGGTCTCCTCCCATATATCTCATGAACAGGACCCAGTTGAATAGACAGCAGCAACGTATACGGTGCTATTCTGACACTTTAAATTCTGTAGTATTATAGTCACAGGATGCAACTAAGATTGATATATATGATGATATGTGGACCCTGTAAGAGGGCTAGAGGGAGGTGTTGGAGACCAGGGATTCCAATTCTGAGTAAGGTTACCCTACTTAGAGTAATTTCTGGGTATCGGATCTCGGTATTCCTAACAACAGGAGCTATATTTTGCCAAAAGTAATTCAGTAAGGATTAGATGAAAAGTGCAAGAACAAGCCCGGTACTCATAGGAGGGTGAAAGGTGTCGTGCAATGAGGTATTAGTTGATCACAGTTGTGTCTAACAGCCAATAAAAAATAGAAGGCCAGTTTCGAAGACACTTCAATTGCATGAGGTAGTAGCTTATATACTGATCATCCATACTCACTTTGTATTGATTGTAATCATTTATGATAACTGGGATAGAAACCTTTACTCAGTCAAGAGATCCAAATACTGGGCGTATAGCAGAACTATCACTGATGCTAAGGTGAGGCTTTTTACGTTTAGTGGTGATACGATCTTTCAGATTATGAATGGTTGATCAAAAATGAACAGCACTATTATCTTACTATTGCACATCTAGAACCTTACCACTTGGGCAAGCAGGACCTCCAGTAACTTCATTTCAAGGTATGTTGGGGCGACTATTATAAATGTAAGAGGAGAAAGCCTTCTGGTTCACCCAGGCTATATTACAGCTACCTAACCCAACCTCTCATAACTTTTCCAGCAGTTAAGGGGAAATAATTATCCATGTATATATGAAATGTAGACCAGAAGTAGCATATGACAAAGATGTTGCTAGTTGAAATACAGCAGAGCCAGTAGGGATTAAACCCTCATAGAGAACCAGCTCAGCAAATGACTCCGAGTGTGATACAAAAATCCAACCGTATATATAACCCACATCACACAATACAAAAACCTTATAACCTTCTAGAATAGGTTTACTAGGCATACAATATATGTGCAGACTGTAGCTACTGAAACATATCATCATCTCATCCACAGTAAGATTAGAAGATGGGAGATAGTATTGTTCGCACCAATTGTGGATAAGACTATTTAATGGCTCTAATTTATAGTGCCCTTGTGACTGAGAAAGTGTCTCCCCATGATCAGATATGTGGAGGTAGCGTTTAATCTGGCTGAACCGCTTGAGTGTCATTGCCCAGAGGATTGAATCTCTCTGTATATTGCTCCAAAAACCTAGGCTCCCCATGCCCTTCCTAGCCCCTATATAGATTAAGAGGGCTAGAAAGACTCTTATCTCCTTTCCTCCCACTGGCCTCCATTTTCGTTGGATTGCTGCTTTTCAAGGTTGAGCCGTACACTGGCAACTAGCTTCTTTCTCAGCCGTATATGTGTTTGTTCCCACCACAAGCAGATCAACAGCCTGCTTATCCCAGAATAGCTCAAAGATTTGAACTATTGAGATATTCGGACTCTCCCAGGGTAGTAGTTGCCTCCCCCTCATAGTCTATGTGAGTGCCAAGTGGGATATAAGGAGAGTTGACAATAACTTCCTTTCCCTTCAGGTTCCCAGCTGCCACTGCTGGTGCGGAAGGCTTGCTAGCCTGCTTTCTTGGCTTTCTGGGGTTTGCTCATTCATCTGCCTTCTTTGGATAATGGGATTTGACAGAACAGGAACTAAGAGGCACTCATACTCATCTTGAGGTAGGCATCGTGAATGTTGCTTAAGGTCTGAAGTGAGAGTTGAGGTTGTGGTGTAACCACATTGTTTCACTCTTTCTGGAAAGGCGCTGTCCCTACTCAGAATAGCGTTGCTGGAACCATTTTTGACGGTTTCAGACCGCCCAAGGGATACTGAAGCCTAACTTCCGCACCCACATATCGACATGGATCGGTATTCGAGCACCGGTATATAGACAGGCAGCCTTATTATAAACCTGCAGTCACCAAAAGTGCCAAAGGTACAAGTAAATACCCGTGCCGAAGTGAAAACGAAAAAAGATGAGTTCTCGGAGTCACTTGCTCGTGACCTCCCTATCAAGCCACCCCACACTCATGCCCAAGCCTAACCGTGACGACATAAGACCGATCGACAGTCAGAAGTAGGTAAGCAAAAACAAAACCCGTAAATCATTGTCTCTTATCACGCAATCCAATGATCTCAGGGGTCAAAGTTTGGCGCCAAGATGGGCCCGTTCGTTGCCCATGGCAATTGTTCATCCACACCCCGCCAGGGCACCGCCTCGCTCATTGACAACACGTCTACTCGCCCGTGGATCTCCATCATACGAAGTTAACGGTTAGCTAGCGAGTCACAATAAAAGTTCGATTTTCTTTTTCCCTCCCTCCTCTCTTTTACTCCCTTCATGAGCGACATGATAGCTTTCTACACATCAGAAAATTACAATGTCCGATGACCAAGAGAATAATAGCGAGTTGCTAGTTCACTCTTCGGCAGCTACGTCGAGGGTGGATGACGAGCGGTATCAGGCGCAGGCGCAGGCTTGTTTGAATTTTCGACCAGTGAGGAGGAGGGTGTTAGGAAGCGTTTTGGTTGGAGGGGAGGAGGAAAGGGATCGTGATAGAGTGGAGGATGGGAGTTCGCGGGGGAAGAGGGCCCGGTTGATGGAAGATGACAGGGTTGAGAGGGGTCCCGCACGGAGCCCGGAGGTGCTTAGGGCACCGGTTAGGAGGGGAATGAGGCCGGAGACGGGGATAGAGATGGAAACGTTAAGGGGTCTCGCTCAGTGTATTATCCTCCTCCGAGTTTTCCGAATGAATTGCAATTAGGGCTTGGTCTGATGGCTTGTGTCTGATAGCCCTGCCGATTACGCCCGGAGAAGTCACGGGAAGAGCTAGTTTGCCGATGATTGAGGTTGCTACTCCGGTGATGGTTATGTCTGCTCCCTCAGCGAAATACAGAACTAGCTTTGAGCTGAGGGAGTCTTTCTTTTCGGCCTATGTGCCTACCCCGCCGCCACCATCGCTACCGGAGCATAAGGAGGACCCGATCGAGGACGAGACTAGCTATGGCTCCTCATGTTTTGACTCTTGGGATTCAATTCCAAACACCATTCCTGATTCTCAGGAGGCCGTACCTCAGCTTCCAAGTTCACCATTTAGCGAGGAGGAATTAGATGTAATTTCGCAGACCATTTTTCCTGAGGCCGACGTAACTTCAGATGAAGAGCTGGAAGATTTGCCACCACCTTCATCCCCGCCAGTCATAGAAGAATTAGAGATCATCCCACAGACGATTGCTCCTGCAATTGACCCTTCTCAGGAAGAAAAGGATCATGCGCCATCCTCCTCTTCTGAGAAATGTATTTCCCCCGCAATATCCAGCGTCTCATTCACTTATAATCAAAAGACATGCAGCGCGGGCCGGCCATCACCGATACCACCGCCTGCGCCCGGCTCACCGACTGCCTCGGACTCGGCAACTGAATCTTTACCCTTGGAAGAACCAGCTCCTGTCGCGCGATCCAGACAGCCACAATGGCCCATCCCGGCACTCGTGGAAGGGCCCTACTACTTCTTCCCCCCGGTGCCCGAAACGTCATCCAACCCCCCCACCGTATCAAAAAACCTGCGAAAAATTTGGAACGTCGGCCAGGTGCGTGCACACTACCAAAAGCAGAAGCTCTCGCAGAGTAGGGAAATACGTGAGCTAGAAAGGGGGTGTTGGAGGATGGACATGAGCGGGTGGACAAAATCCGAGGATAAGATACACTTTTGGAACGCACTGAAGGACCACGTTACTTCTGGCCGCTTCGGCTGGGTTAGCGTATTTCTAGACGAGGAGAAGACCGGAAACGTTATTAAGGTGTATTGTTTTGGAGGGTGTGCTCAACATGTGTGTTTTCCTCCCCTTCTCTGCTCCTACTCTTCTCCTCGGAGAGGTTGACTGATGCGAGAATCCTGCTGTTCTAACACTGTATTTGCTGTGCTCCCGTTTGTTTGTGTTTGTTTGTAGGTTTGGGCAGCGCTGCATATATTGAGCGATAGAAAAACCGCGGGCATCGTTTGGCTAGACGCAGCCGATAAGGAAGTTCTCAAGTTCTGAGTCGAAATGTCGTCACTTCCCTCCTCCCCCCCCCACACAGGCGGCACTTTTGAAGCATTTCACGGATTGGCACAGAGCCCATCTTTCACGAGCTATTCTGCACTCGAGATTCGAGGAATCAAAAGGGAGTGGGAGAAGGAAAGAAGAAGGAACAGCCGTGACCGTGCCATCGCATGATATGATAGGACACGATAGGATACCCCGCAAACCCACATTTATCGTCAAAGTACGAGTAATCGTCTCTCCCTCCATTCCTTGTTCCAAGACCGATGACTCGATCCGGATACACGTCCAATAGCTGACTTGTTCGGTGTTTATAAAAGGTTTACCCAGAATTGAGGTGTTTGCTTTTTTATTTTTTATTTTTAACCTTATCAACTCAAACACACAAACGCATAAACACGAGAAGTCATGCTGCTCGCACAGACAGTGTTTTTCTCCATTGTGCTCGACGGCATGCAAATAGTGCTTCACGAGACGGTATCGTGGTATACGTCGAACATCTCATGCTCGTAATCCCTCCTTTTTCTTTCTTTTCTACCTCTCCTTCCTTATTGCTTCGCAAAATCCTTGTCACGTCCTGTACGAGTACCACACTGTACAAAACAATACCATCCATTTATCCACAATACCAGTAAGGCCACCGTGTTTGTGCATGCATGCAGTACACACCCATATACCGGTACACCTGTGACAGAAACCCCCTCTCCCCCAAGCTAAAACCGCAATCTGCAATCCAGCGCCCCCCCCTCCTCTTCCCCCCAGCACCCACAGACAACGCGATCCACTTCACACAAAATCACTCGAAGTCTCACACCACAGCACAACCCCGCAGCACTCACCAGAAAACAGGCCCGTGCCATGTAACCCCGCCAACCACCAGCACAGCAACCGCAAGCAGGCCACGACCAACCATACTCGTAAACACCTCACCGCGAAACAAGACAAAAAAAAATATCATACCAAAAAAATCTACTCATATTCGAGTGATTATGTATGATCAATACTTTTTTTTTTTTCCCACCCAGCGAGCCATAACACGTGTCGGCGCACAGCGCTTGATAGGTTCAAGCCTCACGAGCTGTGCGATAAAGTATCATACTGGGGCGGAGGGGAGGGGAGGGGGGCTGAAGTCGACCCGGCCGGCCAAGCAATGATACGATATCGTATTGGCCAATGATGTCGTCGGGGTCGGGGAAAGATAACCTGTATGCATCGTGTCGTGGCAGTTGGGTTAGGTTTTTTTTTCTTTTCTTTTTCTTTTCTTCTTCTCGCTCGTTCACTCTGTTCCCCCTACTAGGCGGTGAAGAAAGGAAGGAAGGAAGGAACGTGCTTATCTCACCTCCTGTTTTCGAAAAAAAAAAAAAAAAAAACTTCCTCACCCCAACCCGGACGCGTTGATGATATTCCTTTCCTTTCCTTTCCTTCCTTCCTTAATTCATTTCAGCCATTTACCATAATCATACCATAAACAATCAGCTCACAATCGCTCACTCGCAGCCTAATTCGCTAGTTGAGCCAAGACCCCCCTTGCCAAGTTCTATATGAGGGATACCGGCCGGTTATGGGCGGCGGTCTGGACTGCTCGAGTACTCGTACGGTAAAAGTCGTCAGTAGCCGTACGCCACATGAGTGAGTCCTGATCATTCATTCATTGATTCGTTTATTCTGACTCGCCGCGAGTTATTCCGTCCCATCCATCAATACATCAATCCCGGAAACTTGAGGTTGGAACACACACACGACAAAACTGTTTGGGCTCGGAAGGGTGCATTTCATTTCTGGATGCGGCATTTGATTCGCGGGGGGGTTAGATTGACTTAACACGTACCGTATGCGCTTGCTTGCTTGCCTGCTTGCTGGAGTGGAGGGTGGGTGGCTGGGGCGGTTGGTTGGCTGGTGTGGGGAAGTTGATTCGGCGGAGTTTTGAGAAGTTGTTGACTGGGGATTTCGTGCTTGGTGGGTGGGTGTGGTGGGTGAGCCGGGAGAGGAGGGGGGTGATGGTGGTGGCGGTTTGGGAGTTCCAAAGAGGGAGGGAGGGAGGATTTACAATCTTGGTGATTGGAGGATCATACGAGGTGCTTTTGTCCGCGGTGGTGGTGTCGCTGCCTAGACGGATGCTCGTAGGTAGATAGCCAGCAATAGCTAAGCTAAGCTAAGCTAAGCTAAGCTAAGTCAAAGCCGCGCAGCCCTCGTGAGCAAGTGGGCAAGATCGCTCAGTCATTTCATTCATTTCCACACGAGCCTAGCCTTCGTCGTGACTATCTATAATATCAATCTCTACCACACGTGCCACCATACTCACACTATCGTCAAACATATCCCAAAGAGGACCACCAGCTTAATGTGAGACCGTACCCGTATCGATACCCCCCCCTCCTCCTCCTCCTCATCCTCATCCAACAGCGGAAGCGCTCCCCCCAGCCTTATCACCGCCTATACCAGAAAAAAGAAAGGCAAAACATCAGGATCCCCCTCCTCCCAAAGTAACTTTTGGATCCGACGCCCCGGAATAAGGCCGAAATATTTGCCCTTGTAGCGCCTATGCTTGCTAGCTCGGCCGATCTATTAACTGATATTATGACTACTTTCGACCAATCTTTTTGTTTTTTTTCTCATCTTATCCCACACATTATGCGAATCAGGCCTATCATATCTACTCTTTCCATAGTACCCCATCAGCAAGATCACGCTCGTTTTTTGGAACCCAATTCGGAAATCGTAAATTTGGTTTGTTTGCTAATATCATACCTATCACGGAGAGCCTATTCACCTAAGCAATTTCCTCCATGCGAACCCATCCCCAGGCCACTCGAAGGCTCCGCTCAGAGCCTAACAACCTACCGGGTGACATCTCATGATCGGCTTATGTAATACACCCAGGACCAGACCAATTGACCAATCTCATCTCCGCCCCAACAAGCTTTTTTGGGTTTTATTTTATTTTATTTTTCCCAGTAATGGCCGCTCAGGAACACCCGTGGGATAAACCGCCTTGCATAGAACGAAAAAAAATAAAAAAATTCCCCTTCCCACCCCCACAAATCCCGCCTGTTGAAATACCCAGCGGGGTGGTCAGCAAATCATATTGATTCCCGCCGGTTGAGAAGGAAAAAAAGCCCTGCACACAGGAATACCTTCGCGACAGTTGCATGAGTTGGTACGAGTTTAAAAAAATGTAAGATGGTATCCATCCAATGATTCGCGGATTGAAAGTTTCCGTCATAATCAATGCCAGCAGAGGAGGGAAACAAACAAGAAGCAAAGAAAAAATATGACGTTCGGAAAAAACAAATTTCCCGTTACTAAAAATCCATCCAGTTACCCCCTTTTTTATCATTATTATTCTTTTAGTTCGACCGGGGTTTTTCCATTCGCTCCCTGGCCTGCTTTTGCTCCTGCGCTTCCGCCACCGCCCGGCTAAAAACAGTAGGTTTGCTGGCCGGCTGCTCGTGGCCGGTATCACACCGTTACCGGCGCTTCAAAGACGGTACGGTGCGGTACGGATAGTGACCTCCCAGGAAAAACACTCAGTGGATAATATCTCCCCCCCCGCAAGAATGTCGTATCTATTGCGAAAAAGTTTGAGGGAATTTGATGAAATAAGACAAATAAAAAGCCTGGAGGCTAGCCGAGTATGCGAGTCTATTTAACGAAGGCCGGTTAATATCATACTTGAATGTTAAGAGAAAAAAAAAAAAAAAAAAAAAAAACGGAGAGAACTGGCTGCAACTACCGTACCCGTACCGTAGTGCAGCCGCGATCTGGTCGCCTAAAGGATCTGGCAGGAAGATCCAATATTTCGGCGAGTGTTTTTTTCTTTTTTTCTCGCAAGACTGGTGGAGCCTGTTAGTTTTCATATGGTTTAGCGTCATGTCTGTCCATTTTCGAAATGGAGGAGAGACCTTTCGAAATGGACTGAGGTTTCTGAAGGCGGAATGTGCTACAGAGACCGTAATTTTTACGAGACAGAGGAACGCACCTCAAACGAAACGCTTTGTTTTCTCTCTCTCTCCTCCGTTGGTTCAAGCCGTAGAATATTCCCCGAACCGATTGCCGGCACGGTATGGCGCTCGTACAGTTTCGGAAATGAGCAACCTGCCAACCATGATGAGAAAAAACGATATGAATATCGCCAAAGGAAATGACGGGTGTAAACGGCAGGTAACGTGGTAACGTGATCAGTTCTCGATCGGGAGGAAAAAGAGAAGCAAATACGAGGGTGGAATCGAAATTTCAGTTGTCATGCACAGCCATGAGGTGTTGGACAGATCTGGGTTCGAATGCAGAGTATGATATTATGTTAGAAAAAAAGGATCAAACCATGCTTCAAACATCAAGCGCAGAAAATATCAAGGAAGTTGAGAAGTTGGAATGTCCTCACCGGAACCCTGTGAGAGAGCGATGAGGGAAAAGAAGGGGGGGGAAAGCGTCGGACCATACCCAACTTGTCATGGTCAAGCATTGAGGGGGCGCTTTTCCACAAAACTCATGGTATCATAATATTATTATCGTGAAGAAAATAAACGCCCTGGGGGATACCTACATACGTAAGTACGAGTATCGCCGTCCGCCCATGTTGTAAATATGAAAACTGACCGGCTACCCAGTCTACCCACGACAAAATAATTTTAAAAGAATAATAAAAAAAAAAAAAAAACCAACAAAAAAGATCCATCATCTGCAACGAACAACCCGGCTTTCATTCCCCTTGCAACATACTGTACGAGTAGGTACTCGAGCGCCGTATTGTAACGAGGCCAGACCAGTTTACACCCCCTAACCATTCTCGTGACAGATATGATCAATTTTCCGGACCCTTAGACATCCACGGCAGCAGGAACTGAAGGAACATATTGTAGCCAGAAGGAAAGGAGAAAAGAGAGGGAAAGTGGTCACGTTTTCCCCTTTCCATCTCCACAATCCATAAGGGGGAATGCTAAAAAAGGTCCCACCATGATACTGTATTGTAAGCAAGCAATCAAACGGCTGAACATCGAATGAAGCCCCGTCCGTGCGTAATTGGAGTAGAGAAACAAAGTTGGCGTGCAGATCGGTTATCGAATGTTGTGCATGAAAATGGGAAAAGTCAGACCCCCAAATCCTTATTTCGGCTGAACGAGGCGTCTCTCGGGATCCGGGATTTTCCTTTTTGGATGATCCTTTTTCCTCCATCATCTGTGGTTCGCTCTACCCTAGACAATTAAAAATAAAGAAAAGAGGGAGCGAATGGGGGGTTCCGGCCAGGGGCACTCGAGTACCGTATGTGGAGAGGCGGAAAAAGGACTTGGGGAAGTTGTACGAGTATTGCAGCACGTGGGCTGCGCACCGCGATACGCGTTTGTAAAAAAAAGTCCGGCCGCGCGCTTCGCGGGGGCCTCTGCTCTGTTTCTCCGAAGCTCTTTTTGTGTCGGAAGTTTCTGCTTCTGCCATGGGAAGTTTTTCTCTTTCCTCTCCCTCTTTCGAAACTCCTTCGAAACAACTAGACACCGAACAGTATTCGTACTTTCTCTCCTTCTCCTCGGTGGGAGGTTATGGGGTTAATTTGGTACAAGTCGAAACTTAGTGTAGCAGAATTTTAAAATAATTATAATTCCTATTCCTTTTGCGGTTTTCCTCTTCTCGTCAGTACAGTACGAGTACTCGAGTGCTGTATCGCAGCTGAAAAATCAACTATAGAAACCTAAGAAACGACGTGATAGGTGATTGGTGCTTTGCTCTTAAAGAGCTATTCTTGATTTCCCCAACGGTCGACAGCAAGCGAAATGATTACGAAAGAGGTCGTCGTGCTAAGCTAAAATAGAAAACATTTTTCTATTCCACATCCGACAAGAATGTTTATTGGATGAATTAACGAGATCGCATGAACAAGAAAAAGTGTGGGGTGGGTATCAATCAAAAGTTGGGAAAGGGAGGGAGAGAGAGGAAGGAAAACCTGATTACTCGAGTACTTCCAATAAATTGACTTGGCGTACCTTCGCGCTCTGTTCGCCTCCTCCCTCTTCGGACAGATGAATGACAACGACAGGGATTCTCCGAGAGTCGGACCTCCGATGCGCGAAATGAAGCAATGAAGATCTGTTGAGATGAGATGAGATGAGCTTCGAAACACTTGTACAAGGGCGGTTGAGAAGAGAGATGTGATGTGTAATGGATGGATGAAAAAAGGTCTCAGCAAAGTTTGAAATTTTTTTTTGACATTTTTTTTTCTTCCCGTTCGTCTGGGAAAGAAAAATGAAAAAAAAAAAAAAAAACCCTGCGTTTGTCTCATCCACTCCACTTTTTCGTTATTACTCGTACTGTAACCCGTGCTCAACCGTTTTCTTTTTTTCGTCTCATAAGGAAACCACTGAACCCAGCCAGCTAAGTTGGAGTCCGCGTGAGCAGTCCGGTTTTGTTTCGTCGGTGCTCAAGAAGAAAAAAGAAAAAATGGAAAGGACAGTGGTGATAATGATAATAAGAGTGATAATAATAATGGTAATAATAATAATAAAATTGCTGTTGTTTGAACAGAAAAAAGTGGTAATAAAAGTGCAAACAATTGTTATTTCCGTCTGTGCTTGGGTGTATATCAGTTTCTGAGAAAAACGTCGAAGACCACCCTAACCCTGCTCTCTGGGATTGCCGTCTTTTCTTTCCTCTTTTCCTCTTTTCCTCTTTCTTTTTTTTTTTTCCAAACATTTTGGTAAAACGTGCTCTCCTGCTTCCACGTATGGTGAGCCTCACCCCGTACCACACGGCTTGCGTCCATTAAAGCCTCGTACTGTACTCGTACATTACGGTCATAGAGTCCACCAGGGCACGCTCGTTATTGTCCTGGCTGGCTCCGCAGCAGCATGTCAGTCTGTTCTCTTGAGTAAAATGCAGTACTGGTAGGGTCTTGTCGGGGCTTAAGAGTACCGGCAGGATGCGGAAACTGAGGGAAACGGGAAACGGGGGAAAGGAATGAAAAGAAAAAGAAAAGGGAGAAGATTGAATTCGCCGGCGGAATCCCGGGTACAGTACTCGTACCGGTAACTCCTCTCTCTAGTTTTTTTCCTTCTTTTTTTTTTTCTTTCCCCCCTCAATTGTTGTTTTCCCGTGGTGCAGCGTGACGAGGCGCGGAGAAAATTGAGAGGGGAAGCTTTTAATATTATATCGATTCTATCGGGATACCCATCTGTTGTTCATTCCGCAAGACGAGGAGGTTACTGTATTCGCTGTCTGCCAGCGAATGCATATCCCATACCTTCTGGAACAAAACATACCCGCATTGCCTATAGAGTACTCGTACAACAACCGGATCAAGCAGAAATAGACTTGCACGAGTACCGTACGGTACTAGTACTGATTGCCCATGGGATGGAGGCCACCTCGCAAGTGAAGAAAAGGAAAAGAAAAGAAAAAAGAGGTGATGACGGGTGATGCGGAATGGTAGTATTAGATCATTGAAGTGTCTACCATAACCTTGTCGAGATAGTGATCGATGGAAAATTTTTCCTCTCGTTACAAGAGACCAGTGCTACATACAGTATTCCCATCATCACTGATGCGAGGGAGCTGCAATGCTATCATACTTCATGCGCGTGTGGTTGTGGAACGAGACGAAGGGGGATGATATGCTGGCCAATCGGATTGGCCCACGAAGCAATTCGTACCCAGCCACCCCATGCTGTGTGGGTGCTTAGTAACGAGCCAGGACACATCACAGGCATCACAGGTATCACAGGTTCGGGAAAGGTTCTTTTTCTTTTTTCTTTTCGCTTTTTTCTCGCGATTGAGGAACAGAACAGAGCAGACTCAGCAGAGTACCACCGTAGTACGGTACGGTACTCGCATCATCTGCCTCGGCAGTATTGCGATATTTTTTCTGCAGAAGAGGGGTTCGTCGCAGACCGGACACGGAGACGAAAAAAGTGAAAAACAAACGAACGAAAGAGGTGAGGAGGAAGGAGGCAGAGGAATACCGGTACCGGTACGAGCACAGTACCGTGTCGGCGCCGAGACAACAAGAGTGACTAAGGTAATTGACTGAGGAATACCGTACCTGTAGACGGGCACTTGTGTCGTGGGAAAGAGTGACCCTCGTGCCTTGTGTTGTGTGCGATGCTATTGCCGAGGGACTACCGCGTCAGATTAGAGGCGATGATGGATCGGGGGTGCTCTCAAAAGTTCTATGATATCTCACCTTCCTCCCCTCCCTCCCTTTCCCCTTCCGATCTGATTGTGCCTGCCAGCAAGTCTCTTCTCGCCAATCATCCTGCCAACTCATCCGTCTATGTACCAAATTTATCCATTGAAATTTACTACCAGCCTCATATATAAAAAGAAAGGTTCAACAACTCAAAGATCCTTTACAAGTGAGTGTTTCCCTCGCGGTCACGGCACAGCAGCAATGATTGTCTAAAGTACTCGTACTGCCCATCCCAAAACACCCATTTTTGGGGCTCCCAGCGCGTCGGTCGTTCGGGCCAATAAGATCGCCGATCGACCCACCACCACCAATGGCCCCCCCGGTCTGCTCGAGCAGAGGGAGAACTCGGGAACTGGAAGGGAAGGGAAGAGGAAGGGGAACATCCCTCCCCCTCATATCTCAGTTACGGCTATTGTTCTGGCTCGCCTTCTCATTCGATTTGTTTGATTGCCCTGTCCTGCGTCCGGCCCGTAGGGCTGGGAAGCGGTGTGCTGCTGGAGGGGAATGCTCCTGACTTTCACTGGCTAATGTCGAGGCAGCTGACTTTTCTGTTACCGAAACCCGTACTTTCTTAACCTCTTGTTTTCTCCCCCCCTTACGAGCAAGGTTGGGGGGCATTGCGGTCGAGGGTGGCTTTTCATGTTTATTTAAGGATTTAAAGATACGGTACTCGAGCACAGTATTGTGTCTCACTGCACAGCTTCAGTAGGAGTAACCTTTTAAGCATTTTCTATCTATTTGTCGCCGTCCCTCACTTTCCTCTTTCGGGGGACCAAAATTTTTTATTTTAAAAAAGTAATAATTTAACCTAGGTTACGACCTCATTGAAGCATCGCACTGGTCCAGGCCAAGAGGCGGTTTCCTGTGCCTGGCTCTCTTTTTAGCGTTGTGTCGTGCTGTGTGCTCCGCTTGAGTATCGTACTGGTACTCGAGTAGAGTACTCGTACAAGCACAGTACCGGTACTGTCTGTGTGAATGTGCTCCTGCGGTAGACCGCTACTGCGCCTTTGGGCTGCCTGCGGACTTCAGCAGGCGTGAGATGGAAATTTGGAATTGGTCCAGCGGTTCCGTCATCGAGCAGGGGAAAGAGGCGAATACAGGCAGAGCCATATATAGGCTAGACCATGCCGGCCGACAGCGAAGGCGGGAGTAGTTTTCATATCTACCGGTACCCGAGTACTCGTACGTAGATGCTGTTCGAAGGAGTACCGGTACGTACTACCGTAGCACTTGTGCTCTGCCTGTGCTGCATATTGCACCAGGCACAAATCCATTTCGGGGGTGGCCTGTAGAGCACAGTACTTGTACGTCGCATGCAAGAGGGCAGTGTTATGGTGGGCTTGCCACAACCGCAGGCGTATGATACGTGACAGCTAAAAAGGGAGAGAGAAAAAGGAAAGTGATAGGAAAAGGAAAAGAAAGAAAAAAAGAAGTGAAGGAGAAAAGCGTGAGAGAGTGTGTGTTACGGGGAGAGAGAGAAGGGAGGAGTACGAGACAAAGAGGCCTTTCACTCCGAGATATTGAAATTCGGAAAATGGGGTATCATAGGAATAGTGAAAATAATAAGAAATGGGGAAAGCTATCAACACCCCCTCTGAGGGCGAGGCTCCAGTGCAACTGGGGGAGGAAAGCAGTAAGCAAGTCGGCGGAGTGCTGTTAGCACGCGTTGGCGTGTGGTTCTTTCTTTTACTTGTGTCTGTTATCCACTGCCCATCAGTCCGCTGCGCTACATTTGCCAGCGCATCCCCCAATCAACCTTCTGCATGCCCTCTGCCGCAGGGAGCCTTAGAGTTGCTAACCATCATTAGATCCAAGAAAATCCTGGGTCATACCTAAATACTTCCATCGTCATATCATAACCAGCATTTGCCCAATAACCGCCAGCCTGAACTGGAAAGGGGCCAGGGAGAAAAGAGGGAGAGGGAGAGAGCCACCAGAAGGGAATAACGGAGGAGGGGTACCTTTGGCCATCGCGACCCCCCAAACTCTGCCAAAACTGGCTGTACTCTATGTACAGTCTACTATAATACACACATACACTTACCTGCACACAATACAATATCGTACATACGTGCAATACACCTTGATTGCACTTTGCACTACATACTTGTACACATCCTACTCTCTCACTGGGCATTTGTCCTTTTGCCTTCATACTCCCCCCCCCCAACCGACACACCCCCCGACTTGAAACGGACGGAGAAACATTGAGCGAAGAGTTGGAGAGGAGAAAATTTGAAACGCTCGAGCTTTGGTATCACATCACTGTCCTGTCACGACTCTTCGGCTTTTATTCGCTTGATGTCCAGTGGATTTGTCCCATTCTGAGCTCGCGAGCAATTGGTTCAACCCCGTCGTCATCAGCCTCTTTTTTAGTGAAGAGTAACATTTTTTTCCCTCTCTTAATTGTATGTAACGACTCCCGCCATAGTCTCCCGACCCCCATCCTTTCCTTCCCCGCCGTCTTTCTCTCTCTCTCAACTTGTACTGACACTTAACACATCATCTGCAGTTGAGTCTGCTGCCCAACCCCATCCCCTCACGCACACAGCTCTGCACCCCCATTGAAAAAAAAAAAAAAAAAAAAAGAAGGCTACAGTACATACAGTACTGTACTGTCGTTACTACAACGCCAGCGCCCCACCACCCACCACCTCCCACCACCATCTCCGTCGAAAGCTCCCCCTCAAACAATTTTTTGGACAACGCACCCAAGTCGGACACGTGCTTTGCTCAAAGGCGAAATAATTCTCAAACCTTAGAAAAATAGAAATAAAAATTCCTTGAGTATTCAAAAAACGAAAGGTTTGCTGCGTGGAATTTGAGACATTGCACACGGCAGTTCTGGTCCCAATACTGCTACTTACTAGCAACACATCCTCGTCATTGCCCTTTCCGACTGACAGTCTACGAATCGAGGAGGGAAGGAGGAATCCCCCTCTTCAGCTGTCAAATAGTCTAAGGGTCCCGGGCTACCCATACCCACTTACCCTTCCTCCGTTACTACACCCCAACTCACTTCACCCACCCACCACTACCGTACTCACTTGCTTTCCTGACATCCCTCCGCAGGAACTCTGGAAAACGGGTGTTCCAAGCGTTGTTATTACTCTCCCCACTCCTTGTTCCTGTAACACTTTCTGTGAGTTGGGCCTACCAACCAGTTACGCTGCGCCAGCTAGCCCGCTGAGCCCCACCACACGTTTGTCTTTCTTTTGCTCTGCTGGTATCCTCCTAAGATTGCCCACCCCTCCCAACTTTGACAGTCGACAACCTGTCAGTTAAGCTATCAACTTGCTGCCTACTACAGCTTATAGTCCTGGCTGCCTCTTCCCGCACGGTTGCGTTCCTGACAGATCCTCCGAATTTACCCCATCCAGTCATTGCTCTTGGAACCCGCTCTGGTGTCTTTCAGATAATATTCGGCATCGCGTTCGTCGCGTCTTGACGTTTGTTACGGATTCACGCCTTTCACGAGAGACACGCATAGAATCACGGCTTCTCCCCCCACCACCATCCAATACTTGATCACCCCGCCAGCCCCTTCGCTCCCGGTGAATCAAATATCAACTCTTCAATCCTGGCGGCGGCTCACAAGGGACACTCCTACTCTCCCAAAGTTCCTCGCCATCCTCTACACCCTTTAGATCGATCTTCTAACGAGATGGCTTTTGCTCCGAGATACCCGCAACCCCATTCTACACACCATGTTCATGGTACTGCTGGGTCATATTCACCCCAGCAGAATCCCGGAGGTGGGGTCAGCGGAGGATCTCCCCATATCCCCAATGCCTCGATGCATCAACCAGGGAATCAACACTCCCCACAGATGCCCACCACAAGCCATCAATATTACACACCATATATGACTACCGCTATACCCCAGCCTGGTCCATTCTTTATGCAATCTTCGGATAACGGTTTACCACTTAGTGGTCAGAAGTCGATAGCTTCCCCGCGGATGAACACAGGGCCAACAAAGGTAAAGAGAGAAGGAACACAGAATAGGTCGCCCCAAATGGCTTCTTCAACCACAAACCAGGTTGGTTCAGGTCAACAAGTTATACAACCTCCGAATCAGCAGGTTTCTCAACAGACAATGCAAAATGTAGCCCAATTGTCTCAGCGAAGGATGAGCCAACAGCAGGGTCCGACAGGCAGCCCTTCGTTGCAGCATGCCCAGCCAGTCAACAGCACAAGAACATCCGCGCCCCCACAACCTCCCGCAACCCAGCAAACGGCTCCACCACCACCTCCTCAATCACAACCCCCGCCTTCGCAACCCGTCCAACAACCACCAATGCACCCCCCCGTTCAACCCCATCAGCAGTCTCCCGACCTGGGACCACCTGAGGAATCCCCCCTCTATGTAAATGCCAAGCAGTTCCACCGAATATTAAAGAGAAGAGTAGCTCGGCAAAAGTTGGAGGAGGCCCTTAGACTAACGTCGAAGCAGCGAAAGCCCTACCTTCATGAGTCACGACACAATCATGCCATGAGGCGACCGAGAGGGCCGGGAGGAAGGTTTTTGACGGCAGAAGAGGTAGCGGATATGGAGAAGAAGCAGAGGGAACAGAGTGGTAATGGTGCTGGGGATAGTAATGGTGGGAACAACGGGCAACCAGCCGCCGTGACGAAGAATAAGGAGGCGGATAAGGCCAATGCCACCCGAACACCCAACAGGATGCCACCGAATGCAGCGCATCCCCACAGTGGAGGAGGAAGCAGTGCTCCGACAAGTGGGTCAATGAAGAGGAAAGCTGGACAGGCGGGGTTGCCGTCTAGTAGCCCGGTGAAGAAGGCTAAATCTTCAAACCCACGGTCTCACATACCCAACATAAACAGCGAGAGTGACGATGAGGAGTTGGGTGAGGAGGATGATTAGGATTCGTTCGTGCTTTCACCTGCAGGGGAATGCTGGATGGAAGGACGTAGGGGGGAATAACCCGGAGGCAAGAATGTGCTCACGGAACTCATAGACGCCACGATAATTTGAATACTTGCGGAAACCTACAAACCCTTTACCAAGAACGCCGAAAATACTCCGCTGATCCTGCGAAACTGACAGTTGTCCCCCCTCATCTGCTCATCTGCTCACCCGTTTTCCCACCCATCTCGCGACCTACCTGGCTCCTCTCATCACCCCATGACGACGACTACGACGACATGAGAAATGATTAGGGCAAAAGCTTTTCCCGTTATGATTACCACCTCTTTTGTTCATCCCTTTTGCATTGCGTTTGAACTGTTTTTGAGCATGCACTGTTTTTGATTCTTTGAGTCGCTTTGAATGTATCCATGGATACCACTACTGGCTTGGGTTCCTGGTTCAGAATCGTTTTACTACTATTTCTAATTTCCCATGTCTTCGTTTCCTTCGGTTACCTATCCATCTTGTTCACTTCAATGCCCTTTTCTCATTCTCACACCTCACATCATCCCCCTCTCTACCCCCTGGGCCCTTTCCCCGAAACATTAAAACCGATTTCCCAGAAAACCCTCCTCACTCGAAAGCGTGGAAAGCACTACGACTACAATTAGCTGTTCCGATAACAAAGTTTCCTTTTGCGCATGAATTCTCTATCCCGGAGGAGATTCGCTGCTCTGATAGGATGGGTTTCGTTTATTTCTCTGATACCAAACGATGAGATTGGGGAAAGGAAAAAAAAAACACGAAAAAAACCACACGAAAAAAAAAAGCAACTATTTCTTTTTTGCGGGTTATTTTCTTGCCTTTTTCGCCTTTTCTTTTCGGAATTGGTTCGATTCACTTGAAATGGAGGTGTCGGGGGGGGGGGTGCGGGGCGGCGGCAATTTTGAGCGGGAACACAGGAGTTTGCTTTTTTTATTTATTTTCCCTCTCATATTACGGCCAGGGATTCTTTTTCCATTTTTTTCCATTTTTTTTCCATACTTCCTTTCGGTCTCTTTCATTCATGGTTACTTCAATAGCTGCATTGGGAAGGTTCAACTTATATACACATTCGCTTTTTCATCTTTGTCATACAATTTGGCCTGTTTTTTTTATAGCTCTTCTCTATATAATCATCTTACCCGTTTTTCTGTTTGTTTCTTCTAGCGATTCTTGCGAGTTCCATTTCTTTCCGGGCATTATATCGATCACAAAAAACAAAGAATTGGCGAGCGCGAGCGATCTGGTGTTTTTTTTTTTTTTTTTTTTTAATTTATTTTTTTGTTTCATTCGCATTATAGTCTACCCATTTATCTACCGTGTTGTCTGTTTTATGCGTTCCATTTTTCATTTTTTTTACTTTGCGTCCACCTGATCTTACCTTACCTACCTTACCCACCTCCTAGTATTATTATTATGGGAAGAAAAAAAAATACCTTTCTTTGTACGAGTATATATATATATTACTTAGTTACCTGTATGGCTGTTTGATACTGTAACTATTTATCATATCGGCCATATCAGATTTTCGGGTCTGCGGTATATGATGTTCAGGAATTATCCCCCTTTTTCCTTTTTTTCGTATCATAGTTGAAAACTGGGTATCATATTCAGATTGAGAAGGGGCACTTTTGGGTTACCGTCTTGTTTGTTGTACGTTGGACTGGGGAACACTTTCGTTTACCCATCGCCCAGTCATGTGTTTTTCCCTTCCTTCCTTCAGATATCATCATAGCACCTCCGGATGTTGACTCCAAGAAATTTAATGATAAGAGCCGATGTCTAACCTCTCTCATACCTTCTTGGCAGTGCGGTAGGAATAAACAACGGTCCCTTTTTACCAGTGCCAATCAATCAATTACCCAACCAACCAACTAATCAATAGCCATTGAACAAGAGCTTGCACCGGGGCAAAGCACAGACAAGACGAAACGCCGTGTGGCACAGCGCAGCACAGCATACAGAGTACGAGTAGAGTAGAGTACCTTGGCCCCTCCTGTGCCGTGCTCACTCACTCACTCACTCACTCACTCACTCAACCTTCACCACCCGGCGTCATTGCAGTCGCGCATCTACCAGTGAACCGCTTTTCTATACATGTATGTACCGCACTGTACAGTACAGTACAGTTACTATACTATGCTATACACAAGTATATGTGCGCATGCATGTCTAACGGTGCTACAGGTATAGTACTGCGCAGTATATATCATGTCATATCGCATCACTATGATACATACTACACAACTCCTGACTGACTCTGGACCGAACACATGGCGAGATTCTGCCGGGGGTGGGGTGGGGTGGGGTGGCTGGGCGGGCTTTTTGGTTGGGAAGCCTGAGATTTGCTATGGTATGTCTGGTTGGTTGGTTGAGTTTTTCTGGTTTTTGGTTTTTCTTTTCTTTTCTTTTCTTCTCGAGTAGGGGAGGAAGGATGAGGAGGAGGGAAAGGGAGGGTTCGAAATTTTGATTTTGATTTTGATTTTGATTTTGATGGATGGATGGATGGGTTGGGTAAGGGGGTTGGGGATCGGTGTGATGTGATGTGATGTGATGGAGGTATTTTTATTTTTATTTTTATTTTTATTTTTTTATTCACTTTTATTTTTTTATTTTTTTTTGTTTCGAGGTTTTAAGTAAGTTCTTGTTAGTGCTTTTTCTTTCTTTCTTTTTTTTTCGTTTTATCTTTCTTCTCGGTTTATCTTTCGAGCTGGAGTTGAAGTCGGTGAGTGGTGCTTTGTGCGGGAAGGGGAGGAGTGGAGGGCGAGGAGGGGGGTGTGTTTCCGGGAGTTTGTAGGTGGAGGTGGAAGTGGACTTATTGATACCTGTTATTTAAATTTTGAACAATATCATACGACATGTTGGGGATGTTATTAATGGGTACGTACTTGGTAGAATGAAGGTGGTTATTTATTATAATCGTGATGGAAAGCTCGAGTTTTATCGTGTCCTGCGATGGACCTACTACTACCTACTATCCATGCATGTGAACTGCACGATAGCCTTCCCATAGAGTTCCTAAAAGTGCAAGCTACTGTACAATGTAGAGTATTAGTAGTATTCATAACCCCCCAGCTCGACAAGCAACTATGATACACAAGTATCGTAGCCAAAATTTTGGTTTTTTATGATTCCCAAAATCTCACACCTAGCAACTATCATATCATAGCAAATTCCCTAGTATGATAGCCAGACCCAAACTTCCGAGTTATGATATGATGAATATGCCAACAGGATAGGTCCACGATGCACAAACACATGATTGGTTCCTGGAATATAATTTGTTTTTTTCCTTCTTCCTCTTCACAGCTCTTACTTAACGTCTGATTAGTCAAGTCCATCATCCCGGAGTTCTTCGCGGTTGATAAAGAGAGAAGAGAGGGAGAGAGGAAGGAAGGATTTCGTATAGACGGTAGCCCAGCCGGCCGGTTTCGAAGGTCTATGCTTTGTTTCTATTATTATTATTATTATTATTATTATTACTTTTCACACTTCCCGCTCCCAACCTCCCACCTCACTCGGGTCGACGACTCTGGGGAGCAATGAACGAACGACCCGGGAGCTCTTCTGAGGAAGGCCATCTCGCGCTTTGGGAGGTTGGTCATGGGGAAAACGGCCTGTCTCTGACCGATTCCAACGCTGTACGGGCATCCAGCCAGCCAACCAGCCTCCCTCCCTACCTACCTACCTACCCACCCCGGGTTGATTGAGAACGGATGATGGCCCGCAGAGGTAAATCCTCGATCGGGCTGTCTTAATTTACACGATCCTTTCGGCCGTTGGGATCTCACAATCCTTACCATCGTGCTGGTAGTTATGTTGGCCTCTGATGCCGTCTTTCTTGTATGGGAGCCTTTGGGATTTCTCCATCCTCATATCGGTGTTTGTTGTCGGATCGGGGGGTGGGGGTGGGGGGCGTTGCGAGTGATTCACGAGTTCGATTTTCTAGGTTTGAGTTTTGATACTACGATTTTTTAATTTCGATCGATTGCGAGACTGTTCTTGCTTGCTTGCTTGACTGATCGTTGTTATTGTTATATGTTCTGTTGTGGGTGGGCGGTGGTGACTAGCTTCTACGGTTTTCTGGTGTGGAGCAGGTATGGTATGATGCGTGCCTCCGTTTTTCACGGGAATCTCGGGGTGGGGGGGCTTGATCAGCGTTCTGTCTGGTCCGTGGGGGGAGCGGCTCGTGGATGTTGTCAACTTTTCAACATTTCATCGTCCTTAATTACCAAGGGCTCAACTCATGGGGGGCCAGCAAGCAAGCTCCAGCTCCCAACCCTCCCCTCCATGGACACTCGGATGCCGGTACCGACTCTCCCAAGAAACCTGCGCGCAGTCGTGAGGAAGAAGCGCTCCTCCTATGAGGGCCTTGCAGGCTGGTTCTCCGGGATTGTTTCCGCAGTGTTTACCAACTAGACTGATGATACCAGCATGATACCCACTCTCTCGCGAGGGAGAGATTATATCATTAACGAACATCACCATAAACACTCACCGAGCCCCTCCCGGAGAGAAAAACTTACCCCTTACCTGTTCGTCTTCGGCCTCACGCAAAACTATGGATATCATTCCTCGCCAGCATTATAGCATCCCCTCATCCCCATCACAGCCCATCACTCCCACCGACAACAGTCCGCCCAGCACGTGCAGCACATGACCAACCCAAGCCCCTGGAACTCTGCATTCCCCATACTCGGGGCCAAAAAACCTGATATGTTCAATGGCTTTTTTTTTTTTATCCCTGTTTTTCACATGAGAAGGGGATAGCTTAAGCTTTTTTGGGGATTTTATTTACGCGTATTTGGGTATCATATTTGGGAATGAACCGCTCTTATCACATCACAAACTGTTCCTACAGTGGGGTGCTGGAGACATGGGATTATCGGATGGGCGGTCGGGTATCGCACGTAGCTTCGATGGGGTGAAAGTAGAGGTGGGGGTGTGGTTGTGGTCATGGTCGTGATAGTGATCAAGATACTGTTCTCCCGCACGGCGCACGGTGAACAAAGACCCGAGGGACTGACCACCTGAAGGGCTGTTTAACCGTACTCATATAGCCCACGATGTCATCCATAAATACCACTCACTAAAGGGGAAGGAGAAACACCCTTCGCTACCCAGAAGGGTAATATATATAAAAAACACAAATTAGTCACCACCAAGCTAAGAGAATCATCCGACGGGAAAAAATAAAATAAAATAAAATAAACTATGCATTGCAAGGGAATCGAACCCCTGCCAATTGCTTGGAAGGCAATTATCCTACCACTGGACCAGCAATGCCCGACGTGCTTCAACACATTTTTGCGAATCAGGTTCTAGTTCGGCGAAAGGGTTCGGGGAAACACGAGAGAGCATTTTTCACTCCCATCGGAGTTTCAGTCGCATCAACTAATGTTTACTTGGAATTCCATTTCTTCCTATCATACTACCCTAACCTACCATCACGCACCTGACAAGGTCGTGTAGAAAGGGGGCGGTTGGCAAACTCACAAACTTAAGTTTCGAGGTAAACTGTCATATCCCCCCCGAAAAAACCAAATCCAACAAACACCATCTCCATCCGTCTACCGCGCATACAGTCATTACCGATCCTGTGACGCTTGCTTGGCCGAGTGAATTGAGGGGAGAAAGAAAGTCGACCCGAACTATATATTATATATATTCACGGAGGGGGGGAAGAAAAACTCATACGGTGGGATCCCAATATGGCTGGAGAAGAAGAACTTCTTCCGTTCCGTAATTGCTGGAATTGACGTATATATACGGGGCTGCGGTGGGGTGGTTTGACGCTTGGGAAGCATAGCTTACACATGGGGGCCGGTATGGGGAATCATACTCGAGTATGATAATGTGCTACTCTCTCTTTCACACCCCGTGGAGTTGGCCAGTCCTTCGTGCTAGTCGGAATAAGGCATAAGGTTTTCTTTTCTTCATTCTCTCTTTCCATTTGCGGGCCAGGATAGATATTTTCTGGATCACGATATTTCTGGGGAGTTTGTTTCTTATAGCGTTACGTTCTTTTTTTGGTCGATTGGGTTGGATTTTAGGATTGTTGGCTATTCACCAACAACACTACCATATATGTCCCACGGACCCGGGATGGGGGGGGGTTCATCAGTTGTTGTCCATGGTTTTTTCCCTCTCGCTCAGTGTGCTTCGTTCGTTCACGGTGATCTCACTCGCACCGTTGCATCCTTTATTATAAGTCGTTTTCCACATCCCTCCCTCGACGTCTCGAGGTGTCGTTGGTAGGATATCATTCATAATAAATTGATCTTTCACTCGGCGAATCCGAGCGCTGAGAGCTAGGTATTGGATTCCTGGAGAAACTTTACGCGACATATGGACTAAAGTAGAGGGTTGGAAGGGAGAAGGTGTTCAATAGTTCCGTACTGTGTTGAGAAAAAAAAAATGAACCAGATAAAAGTAAGATATTGTCAACCAGCTAGCTAGGTATCCTGGTAGATAAGGGACTGGTCGCTGTGTAATAATAGTCGTTGGGGGGTAGCAAGTATATACTCGAGTACAGTAGATAAAGTGGTCCGCAGTGAACACCCTCTTTGCCATCACTATCAAGCATCTCAGAAACGCGGGATGACTGAAGTGCCCCAGACCTCGGTACGGCGACTTATAGATCCATACAATCTCCTATCCTCCTGGCACATTGCGCTTTCGGTTCTTATAATTTAACTGATGACGGGGGTATATATGAAACTCCACTTAAACTTCTTCTCCCACTGATGGATCGATTCCACCAATGCCAACACTCGGACCTGGATGGGGTGAAGTGGAGCTGTCTACTCTCCTCGTATGCTAACAACTTTGTTCATTTGACATAAGTACATCAAGACTTTCGCGAATTCAGATACTGGTGCTTGGTTATCCCCCCTCGAAGAGTAGTAGGGAACACTCTCACTCTACTACGATATCTACAAGTGCGAACAACACGGCCACTATTACACCCCTCGCACCCCACCCCCTCTTCTAGCTCATACAAGTCGTCGTGTCCGCAGAATGCCATTCGATCGAGCACCAATGCCCGGTGAATGATTGGGACGGTACCATCTACTCGATAACCAAGAGCAAGACTCCAATATGGAAACCCCAGGGGGGGACGTACATGTGGGGTATCCGGGCACTTTCCTCTCCTCCTTGAGGTGTTCAACGGGAATATACGTAGAGGAGAATTCGTAATGTACCGGATCCAAACTGGGTGAATGGGTAGTAGACCGGGGGGAAGGGACGTCTCAAGATATCTTATAAAGTGCCTAACGTATGTACAGTGCAGTTCCCTCCCCCCCCCTCCCATTTTCCCAAACATCAAAAGTGTTCACCCTCACATCACGGGATATCACTTCACCCCCCATGGGCACATCGCCAGGGGAATTTCTTGTCCCCCGTTTTTTCCCATTCCATTGGTTTTTTTTCTTTACCGATGACTTTTATTGATTTCATTAGTTGACCGAACAGCTACTATAACTATCATAACTCCCACCCAAAGTCTCCCGACTTGGAGGTGACGAAAAAAGAACAAAGAGGCACAAGGGCTTATACATGTCATGCCACCGATACCGGAAGCGACAACCCTAGCGCAATCCCGTGCCAGACATGACATGGAAAAAGGTGTCCGACTTCTCGCAAGTGCTCGGGAGGAGCGTGTGTACAGTATCGTACTTGCACGTATTCACTATCCCCCCCCCGAGTGGTAGTTATGACACCCGAAGTATAGGTGCGCATGAATTGCTGGGGATAGTCATATATAGTATAATCCCGCGAGTCCCCGCCCCGAACAAGAGGTTATGCACCCTAGCGAGAACTAGAGCTTTAACCCCCAGATCTCTGAGCTCCACAATGTAGGGCAAGGCATGGCAAGGCAAGCGCAGGCACCCGACCACACCGATACCACAATCCCGCACCTTCAACTTCCGGGGCTATCAACTCATTCCAGAGTTCCGTATGACAGCCCAGCTCCGGCGGCGCTGGATATCGAGAGGGTGACGACATTTTTCCCCCTCTTTTATCAACTTATGATACAATCTTTCAGGGGAGGACAGCCAAGACTTTGGATACACCAGACGTTACGGGACACGATTGTAGGACGCTTCGATATCATTTTGTTATCCTTGTTCGCCGACCCGGCATCAACAATATGATACACTGCTCGGGTACTTGAGTTACAGCACAGCACAGGTACCATACGAGCCTCCGTGCAGGCGAGGACTCTCTACACATACTTCACGGATCGGTCCCCATCCGTGGCCTGCTTCGTTGGTACTGTACTGTATGTCCTTTGCATATATTGTGATATATGCGATGGGTGGGAAAGCGACATGTTGAACCCTATGTATGTATGTGTTATACTTGTATTTACGTACTCTATGTAAATACGTGTGCATACATACATACATACATACATACATACATACATACATACATACGTACGTACGTACATACATCCTTCCCCCTCACTACTCATACCTAACAAACCTGACAACTTCCAAGTATGAAGGTTCCCTCCCACACTCCAACCAAGCCAAAATAGGCCAATCTCTACGAGTAAAATCCCACCAACACCTTCCCCCTTCCCAGCGCGAAACGCGGGGAAGTAACCGAGCACCGGTCAAAACCTCCGAAATCCAATGGCCTGAAACACTACGAGTGATACTTCATGCACACATACTACGAGGATGAGAGTGGAGACGGCCAGTGCAGTGAGTGGAGAATCTAATGTTTCAACTAGAAAGAGAGCCGCCAAACCTAACACAAAAACAAAAAACTTGAAAACTGTATATGCTAGGCAGTTAACAATGCTACTCAAAAGAAATGAAGAAAAACAGACCAAACAAATTCCCACAGACATGTATACTCAACGAAGAAAGAGAAACACATGGACAATGACATGGACAAGCCGCGGGAGATAGGAGAGAAAGAAAACAAGAAAAAGAAGAGGGCTCGTTATCGAATCCGGCCAGCGCGGATCCCTTGACAAGTATAGTATAGTATATAGTATAGTAAGATATGGAAAAAATATAATAGAAAGCCATCCTGCCCCCGTGGACGCGGTTTTCTTCTCGTTCCCTTTTTCGTCGCCGGTGTGCCGAGCACCTTCAAACCCCCATCAGAACAAAAGGCTGGAGGCAAGAAAAGAAGAAAAGAAAAAGGGTTCGTCATCAAATCGTGATCCTCGTTTTCGCTCTCGATGATTTCGTTCGTAACCTTTATATACATATCATTTCCATCAGACTCATTCGGCATCGCCCCACCGGGAGCCTATGATCCGACCCACACAACCAACAATTTTTTTTGTTTCATTTTGCTCTATTCAGGGAACTTAGATATTTCTCCTTACTCAACACGGTTTCTTTGTTCTTTTTTCTTATAAACCCACTTCTCCAATAATTTTAGATGCCTCGCGGTAAGTTTTCAGGAGTCTCTCGCACTTCTCCCTCTCGGCCTTGATAGCGTCATCCTCGTACAGGAGGTCACCGAAGAATTCCTCCTTGTACAGCTCTGTCACGAGCCTGTTCTGGACGGCGTCCTTACTGAAATTGACGAGGAAGTGCATAACTGCTTTGGGAACTTGATCCTGAATTGTCTCGCGGACAATGTTAAAGTAGGAAGAGATGAGTCGGCGAATCAGCTCTGTCTCCATCTGTTCCCTCTCGGTCAGGGCTGGCTCATCAGGAGTTGGGGTGAAGGTTGGAGTTGGCTCCTGAATGTGTAAGTGTGGATGGTTAGCATATATTGCAATGAAGTGGGTCTTTTTTTTGTCGCGTACTAGACTAGTATCATCGAAATTCTGTGAAAGCCTTGACATGTCGAACGCAGGCTTCTCGTTCCTTTCCATTCCACGCCTGATGCTCTGGGTGAAACTCGGTTCAGGTGCAGATCTTGGGGCAGCTCCACTGGTTGCTGGCATACTACCCTCCTTCCCAAAGAAGTAGTTCAGGAAAGAGTCGGTTGTTTTGTTGGTCGTTGACCCCGATGAAGGGTGCACTTGAGGACTGCTTGGCCGCCCATTGATATTCATGGCAGAGCTAATAGCTGAGGATTCCAATGAGCCAGGGGCAGGCGAAATCGATCTCGACTCACCACGACCATGCATCATCCGGGCACGTTCAATTATTGGATTCTCCTCATACTCGGGCCCACCCTCACCATTAAGCATTGGGGGTACAGAGGAGTTGCTCATACTTGTGGGCTTGCGCCTATCACGCTCCTTCCTTCTCTCGAATGCCTGAGCCTTACGCTCCTTCTCCTGTTTATTTTGGATGACGGATGACATAGCCGATGCTGCACCAAGGAAGTTGGGATGGTTAGTGTTGATATAGGCTCGTTGTATTGCGATCAAACTCTCGACATATGTCGATGTAGGTCCTAGCCGCTCCCTCAACAAGTCACTCACTACCTCGATCAACTTGGCCTGCAGCCTGGGGAATCTTGAAAGTTCCGTGCTCCCACAAGTATGGCAAATCTTGATGAGCTCTTCGTAAACTAACTCGACACATCGGTGGGATGGAATCTCCAATAATCTTATCTGCGGCTTGACAAGCAAATCGAAAGCCAACTCCGGAACAAATAAGCTGGGCCTTGGTCCGGTGGAGTTTCTGATGGCTGTTCGGATGTCGAGGACCGAAAGGTTGGTGGTGGGATCAATTAGCTCGAGTGAGTTGCCGAAAACACTGTTAAAGATGTAGTATATCCGTGCACCACCACACAGTTCCTTAGTGGAGATTTCGGATGAAGTACCATCAATAGATGAAATAAATGAGCTGGCGAATCGTGTCATGAGCTGTAGAATTAAGGAGCCCTAAGAAGGTTAGCTCCCGTCCTGTAATACGACATTAAACAAACATACTCTATGTTCTTTACCACTAAAATGCATATCCCCATAAGACGCAAGCTCTTGTTGGGTCTGGCCCATAAGGGTATTAAGTCTAGCTTTGATGTCAGGTAGCCGATCCCTGATGTGTTGCATCAATGTCTATTCATGTTAGCCTCACATATTTTAAATAGCGATGTTAAGATAGCCCAAACATACACTATTCAAGCTTTTTGCTAGGAATTGGGTGCCGCATCTATGTGCCATATTGCGGTAAGCCGGATGAAATTTGAAAAACTCCTGCTCGGCCTTGAGAGCCTCAGAAAGAGACTTGTTCCCTTGGATATCCTGTTGCGATCGATTGACCACTCCGATAAATCCAAGCTTCAATGGGTAAACTCTTCCAGAGAGAATCTCGAGAGCGTTGGTGCCATGATCCATCAAGTCCAACTTGGTGAGAACGCCGATTGTCCGCTTGCCTTGTGGGTCAACTTGGCGGGCAAGCTTCAAAGCTTCAGAATTCACGAGATCAACATTTGCCGGGGAAACAGCAAGGATGATACTGTTGGGCTTGGCGATGTACTCGGTTATCAGATTCCTCGTTTGCTTCTCGATATCTGTTGGTTGGTCTCCAATTGGAACCTATATGTGCGCAAACTTGAGTCAGCCGCAACTCTCCGGTTCAGGATCAGCTGAATAAGAAAAAAAAAGAAAAAACCTTTGTCAAACCCGGCAAGTCCACCAATGTCAAACTAAGAACATGAGGAGAGTAGATTTTCAGGTTAATAGGAGCCCTATTGATACCCTTGTTGTTACCGGCAATCCGAGATGTTTCTGCCTCTATTTCCCTCTTGATTTCGCTGAAATCATAGTACCGTCTGCCAGGCTGATGCAGAAACTCTCCAAACTCGGGCTGGTCGGAGTTGCCCTCCCGGGTGTGCGGTTCCGCACTGCTTCCTTCATCGTTGGGGATGTTGATGAGTTGAAGAATGAGCGGGCGACGAGTGACAATGCCTGAGCCACGTGGGAGAAAATCACGACCAACGATGTTTTCGAGCACCGAGGATTTCCCGCTAGATTGAGAGCCGACAACTACCTATCAAGCGTATCATCATCAGCCGATGTCTCTAAACATAGGGAAACAAATCCTCCAAAACAAGCAGCCAGCGTGGGACTTTTGTAGATTTTTTTCTTACGATTTGAGGTAAATCTAAGCCAGAATCGGATCCAATAGTATTAAAGACCTGCAGTTAGAGTTAGATAACATCCGATGACTGCACATTTTCCGAACGCAAGGGAGAGAGAGAGAAGAGTTACAAGATCCTGCAGCTTATTCACTACACCGAGCAAATCTTCGCTGTGAAGCTGGTCAGTATAACCGTTTTGAAACATACTTTTGAGTGGAAAAAAAACGCCTACCCGAGACAAGCCATCGTGAGAGCAAGTGGGGGAAAAGAGAGAGCGATAGAGAAGATAAAAAGAAGAGGCGAGCTTCCTGCGGGGCAAAAAGCCTCGTGAGGGTTCCAGTGAAAGGTGAGCGGGGAAGGTGAGTTGTTTGTGTGCTGGCGAATTGATGAGTAGTGAGTACAGTATCGCAGAGCAATAGGAATCCACTGGAGAGAAACTTGGGGGTGTGAGGAAGTGCAAAACAACGAAGCAGCCAATGATTGCTGGCGTGCTGTAGCCAACCACAACCGCAGGAGTTCTGAGAATGCAGAGGTTCAATTAAGCTCGCACACGCGGGTCCTCAAGCGAACGACTCAGGATACCGTAGGCGTGCAACTCACGGTCCTAGTTGAGGAAGAACTTTTTATGACAAGTAGTCAAAGTTGTCCCGCTGTGAACTTTTTGGAGAAAATGAGAAAAGGGGCTCAGCTTCGGATGATTCGTTTTTATCCCCTTGCCTTTGTGACCGGTATTTTGTCAGGATTGTGTTTTGCCACTCAAAAATCTGCAAATTTCTATAAATTCTATTGTTTTCCTGTTGCCCTCCTAACCTTTGTTTTGCTTTTGCCCCCCGGAATGACACAGAGCAGGACCGGGCCGAGGTAAGCTGGTAAGGATCTCATATGGAAAAACTATTTTCCGAACAAGGGTCGCTTATGTACAAACTTGGCGACAAAAGAAATCGGCACCCCCATTTTACACCAAAAATAGCTGATTTTAAACACACTCAACTTGCCCAAAAGAAATGGAAAATTAATGAAATCAATTCCATAGTGTAGGAAATTATGTAGACCTGTCAGGTAGAAATTATAATAATTTTCCCACACCAACCAGGAGGCTGAGAGTCAATGGAACAGCTCAGATGCTGTTGTAATATACAATTTGTATGGGAAGCCCATCCAAAATTAGAAGTACCATTTTCCTACCCTTGGAATTTCTGCTATTGCACCATGGATACTAACCAACAGAGCTTATTGCTTACAAATGATAATATCTAGATGGCTTTAAAGGCTCTAGCAAATTTTCTATTATTATTTTTTATGGATAGACAAAGCTGAGATTTTGCAAAGCGAAAATGCCTATAAATTTTTTGGTGCAAAGTGGAAGGGTGCAGATTTGTGGTTGCTGCCCTGAGAGGGAAAAGACTGCCGAGACAAGACACCGAGACGAGACGACGTCATTCCTTGCGCATTGTGATCGGGTCGAATCTTCTGTACTCGTAAAGCTTTCTGGTACGGAAGGCCTGTGGTTCTTTTGCTCAACTGTGACCATACGCAAGCAAATTGCTGGTATAAGAGGGCGCCCTTGCACCACCATGAGCCCCGCCGTTGGCAAATCTTTTTTGTCCTTTCCTTCTTCTCCCTCTACGTTGAGGAGTCTACTGAGCATCACACGATTAACAACGTTCAGACCGTCAACCGCCTGCTGCGCAACTAGGCTGGTTTCGACCCCAATAATCCACAGAATGCCTCTCGTTCGCCTCCCCTACACATGATCAGTTTCACCGATTCCCCCGCTTACAGCTGTTTTCTTCTGCTAGGTTACTATCAATCAATCGCTCCGCGAATCGTAAGTCCTACGATAGTGTACCGTACTGTATAAAAGATCAACCAGTGCTAACCTTTTGCGTCATATCAGTCTTAAGAAACATGGAGTTATTCCCGACGGTTTGTCCTCTTACACAATTTCGAGGGACTCCTTTCGTGCTAATACTAGCTATCATGCCATAGTTGTGGACGACTTCACTCCAACAACCATGCTATCAATCGCATATCCCAACGCGAACAAAGAGGTCTCTCTCGGGAACACCCTCAAGCCCGAGGACACACAAGAAAGACCCACGATCCAAATAACTCCAGAGGGAATCGACGAGTCACAAACATACACCATTGTAATTAAATCAGCCATGACACACATCCATTCTTGTTATATATTTGTGAAGGAGAAGGAGTGGCATGCTGACGAAACCAACCTTAACTCCAACCCCCCACCAGGTTCTAACAGATCCAGATGCACCATCTCGCGACAACCCAGAATGGTCCGAATTCTGCCATTGGGTCATTACCGACGTCAAGCTTCCCTCCTTGGAAGCCCTCTCGTCCGCTCAGACTGTCGAGGCTGCTTCAGTCAACCTTTCCGATACGAGTGAGCTCGTGGAATACATGGGACCAGCGCCGCCAGAGAAGACTAAAAAGCACAGATACGTCTTTCTCCTATACAGGAATGAGAACTCGAAGAAGCTGGAGGGTCCAACTAGGAGGAAGAAGTGGGGGAATGATGATTACAGAAAGGGAGCAAGGCAGTGGGCTGATAAGTATGGTCTTTCACTCGTTGGTAGGACCCGCATTATATATCCCTCTATTGGGTAATTTTCCTTGCTGACCTTGTTTCTTGTTGTTTGTAGGTGCGAACTTTTTCTTTGCTCAGAATTCGAAGCAGTGAGAGTGACTCAGGCAATCGAGAAATAAAATTCAAACATCCTTCTCATGATAACTTGTCTTCCACCCCATGAAATCGCACAAACACATAAATTAGCCATCTTTAAAAAATAATAAAAAATAGAAAATAACACTTTCGCACAAAGAAAAAAGAAACATGAAGCCCCAAACGGGCCAAAACATCCCAACCGTGACTACCACCGGAGTCCTTATGCACCCAGACATCCCACCCTAAACGCTACCAAAAGATGGTCCGGGTCAGAAGACCCCATGCTATCTATCGCAACAATCACTCCCCCATCAATCCATCCATCCATCCAACCCCCCTCTCCCTCAGCAAGCTCGAAGAAGGCTTAGAAATTCAACCTCATCTCACCCGCATACTGATTCTTTTTCGATCTCCGCGGACTCGGTGTATTCCCCTCTCCTTTCACCTCCTTATTCTGCTTGCCACTCGGGGAGGCAGCTCGAGCAGGTCCGGCCCCATGCCGCAACCTCCTAAACACAGACGTGAACCTCGACCCCGCCGAAGAGGATTTCGCCGAAGCGTCCGGTAGAAGGCTTTGAACAGTCGAAGTGGAAGAGTCAATGGAGGATCTGAGATGGGATGTGCCGGACATGATGAAGTGTGTTTTAGAAAAACGTGGAGTGGTAGAGGAAGGACCTAGTATTCGTGGGGACGGTTGTGGGGTTGTTTCTCGCTCCTTTTCTCAGGCAGGAAAGAGGTGTGAAAGGTGGGAAAGAGTAAATGATCCTCCAGCAGCTTTGTTAATTAGAAAACCGAGCGATTACTTAGAGCACCAAACTCGACGCAGAAGTTGGCGAATAACGAAAGACCGGAGACACGAGCCCTTTTATCTATCCCCTCTAAACAGCTGCCGAGCACATGAACGTAGTGAGATACTTTTCTCAAAAGATAAGGAAATTAGGAAAATACTCGACCCCACCACCCCGCTACCGCTCAAGGTTCTACCTTACACCAACCCACGCCCTTCCAATTCACCTCCATATATTGCATGCCGTCCACCATTTACCCAAACACCCCAAAACAGGAACACCCAACGCGTCATCCCACACGTGAGCAAAGTATACCGCTACTCTATCCAGTCCTGAAAACCCAGTCAACACTCACCAACATGTGGACAAACGGGTCTTGACGAGTCCGGGTTTCCGAGAATACCGGTACTTGTATGAATGATATGACTCTGGCGACAAGATCATCGTTATACAGCTACTAGTGGTGGCAGGAAAGGAAAGCCTGTCCATTTTCATATGCAAGGACAGTACGGTAGGCCTACCGTACGAGTACAGTACCGTGGTTGTATAAGTACTCTCGTACTGTGCCAGGGATTGACGAGGATGGGTGCAAAACCATACTTTGCAACCCCCACCCGCCGCTCCAATCAAATTTATTGTTACATACGATACCGGTAGTGAAAACTACTCGTACTCTACAGGTGAGACTGCTGAACCAGCATTAGCTAGTCTAACTCGCCTATGGATAAGCGGATACTCGCGTGGTGGATGGTTGCATGGAGGTAGATGAAAGAAAGGTTGATGGGTCGAGAGCATCTCGGTACCGGTGCAATAATAATACTCGAGTAGTGGCATCCCTCTCTCCCTGTGGACTAAGGAAGGTATAAAGTTGTTATGGTGAAGTGCAAGTGCATCCGATAGATAACCTAATCACATTGGTCTAATAAGAAATATCTACCCGGTATGCAATCTACGGGTAGTGAACCTTCTTGTTCAAGTGTGCCCAGATAATGGCACGTGGCTAGACTGATAATAAGGAACAAGGGAAGAGAAGAGAGAGAGAGAGGGAAATAACCGCCCCCGAGTATCGGAGCGGTATCGTACGAGTACAAATACTGGGTACAAGTATCGCACATGGGCAAGAGGGATGATGAATCGTGATTCGAGTGCGTGGCCTGTAAAAACACATATTGCCCCCAATCGCTCAATAAGAGCTTTTAATCATGAGATATATATTGAACTAGATGTCAGGCACCCATCTGTTAATAATATTTTGTTCAACGTACAGTACTCTATCCAACGCCCCCCACTTCACAACCATGTGAACCCCCAGCGAGGCACGGCATGGCTTGGCTTGCTACTGCTGTTAAAATCAAGGGAGCATTTGTATGATTAACCAAGTCTCTCCCTTCTCACTGAGGGTTCACACAGTCTACCAAATCAACGATAATACAACAACCTCATCCCTCGATATCCAGTTTTAAGTTATTCTACCAACCACGTTCTCGCCATGACAGCCACGTTTCACTCCAAGCCCGCGGTGTAGGGACTGATGTGGGAATTGTCCAATGGATTTATACGGCAATACGACTCGGCGTAACCGACATCCCGTCACTGCGAGCTGGTTATATCATTGCTATGACTCCGTCGGTATGGTAGGTGGTACGATATCCTGTTGGGGTTGGGCATGGACCCGATACGTATGGACTTAGCTGAGGATATCATACTTTATCGTACAGTACAGATATGATAGCAGGGAATAAATTCCCAACTTTCGAAGATCTCCCCCCAATTTACCGGACAATGTTGCGAGTCGGGTTGTGCGATAGCATGGGAAGGTATCGATCGACTCGAGCATCCATGGCAGGGATTACTATACAATACCGGTATGAAATACTATCGAATATGGTAGTCATCGGTAACAGGTTTAGGGTTATCGATGGGGTAAGACGGTCACTCTCACGAAACTTTACCCTTCTCCAAGAAATGGTTATATTATCATAATTGTTTTATAATACAAGCGGAATTGTGGAAGCATCGTGAGTTAGTATACAGGGAGCAGTAAGCTCGAGCACAAAATTTAATATGATAATATGAATGGATCGGGAAAGTAGCTAATAGGCGCAGTAGGTTTCGGCAAGCCCAGATTGGCAGGGTATACGGAATCTCCACCGTTCAGCTCCAGCCAAAGACAAGCCAAAATCCGATAAACGCGCCAGAGCACCACAGGACACAACACAATACAACCACCAATGGTGTAAGATGAATAATAAAAAAAGACCACCCACCCATAGCATAGCAATGAAAAAGCTACGACAAAAGGTGATAATAAAAAAACAAAAAAGCACCAACACCACAACACCGTCGAAAAGATGAAAACGAAACCGCCCACGTTTCTCCTCCCATCCTATTCTCATATCCCCATCCCCTCCCCCTCCAAACACCCTTTGCAAAAGCAATACACACCCTCCTCTTCCGCACACCCCGAGCACACCGTCACATCGCAAGAATCGCACCGGCGCGTGCACACATAACACGTAAACCCGTCACACCTGCCGCAATTCGTCACGGTAGCGAATGAAGTAGCGAACGACTGGACCCTGGAGCAGACGTGGCAGCGAGGCGTTCCTCCCGCCGCTACTAACACTCTGCCTAGGCCTAGCGGTACTTCCACCGGATTGTCTTGCGAGGTGTGCATGTAGTCGTCGTAGTCTTCCATTTCTATGGGAGGGGAGGAAGCTCGGAGGCGCTTTAGCTTTGGGGCTTGAGTTGTTGTTGTTGCAGTTGAGGGGGAGGTGCGGTAGGAGAGTTTTGGTATGGCTGATTTCAACTTTGGGATGGCGGTGGTGGTGGTGTTGTGAGGTGAGGTTGTGGTGGTGAATTTGGGCGCGAGGAAGAGGGAACATTTTTGAGCGTGTGTGGTGGTGCGGGATGAAGAGGACGCTTGGTGTGATTGCGCTGTGGCGATAGTAGTTTCCCGGAGGAATTTTAGATCGTTTGGCGTTTCGGCCAGGAGGTCTTCCAGCCGGCGCTTCCGTGCAGTAGATGCTACGAGGAAGGAGGAGGCTTCTGGGCTTTGAACCATTGTTTTCTTTCTTCAATTGTTTATTCGGAAAAGAATTGTTGTGGGGTGTTGTTGGCTCGAGTTAGGCTCGTGGTGTGGTGTGCAGTTTTATTGCAGCGGTGAAATTTGTGGCTAATTTCTTGGTGGGTGGAGGATGGGGACCGCCGGTAATACCAGTACGTTTGTAGAGCAGAGAGTGTGGATAAACACCCCTGTGTGTTGTCGTTGTTGGCGAGGAAGAATGGGTGACGAGAGTGTTGAACCCTGATGGCAGTGATGATGATGGTGATGATGACGGAGGGATCACAGGAAATAATATCGTAGTGTAGAGATAGTGGAAGAGGAAAAAAAGGAGCAGAAGGGGGGAGGAAGCAGAGGAACGTGAAGCAGTAGGGTAGGGCAGTCAACGATTAGTGGACGGAAGGTCTCAGAAGAGTCGTAAATAGGGCCCACTGATAATTTCGATAGTAGTTCTTGGGTCTCCTCCTGCCCGAACCCTTTTACCTAAAGGAAAAAAACCCAAAATTACTCTTAGTTCACGAACCCGCTGAGTCAGTCAGTGCATTTAGAAAGCCTATTCATACCATACCATATGCATCGGGTGCCCAGATCGCCTCCCTTGTTCCTGTGATGCCACATCCTTCTCCTTCTTTTCGTGCTATTGTCTACTCCTTGCTAGGGTGGGCATCTACCCTAAATGACGACTTTCAGTGGTGGACACCTTCCGAGACTTTTTTCCCCTTGCTCCGCTTGGCTGTTCCTCGATCTACTGGTACAGGGTGAGAACCCCATAAGCCTCCCAGTAACATTCTTAAGCCACGCATGCTGGCATCGGTGAAGTGTACTTCTTTTTTTATACAACTTTCCAAAGTGGTGAACATCAGTTAGCAGGGGTCTCCCAAGTCAATGGTTCATCGGACGGATGAACCACTTTGGTTCCGGGAGGATACATATCGCCTGTAACAGGAATTCACAAGGTATCACTCGAGGAAGTGTATATGACCCGATTGGCAGGGCGGATATAGAACATACCGGTATCTGCCCAAAGGGGGAGAGGGGAAGGACAACTCGATAACTCTGTAACATAAGATTGTCGGGTACGTGTGGAGAGATATTGGATTGGTTGAAGGCTCTTCTCAGAGTGTTTCATCTCCTGTGAGGGCTGTAAGGATGGGGTCACGATTCGAGCATGTCTTTTACTCGCTACTAGACTCTCACAAGGTACGCTGCTCTGTTTGTACAAGTAGTATCGTGGGTGTGCGGGAACAGGGGTCTGTCCCTCACAGCTCATCACTCGAGTAGTCCAATGCGGCTCAAGCTCGAGCAGCCTGCCCAATCTCCCCACATCACGTGTTTCGCTCACCTCCGGCGCTTGTCTTGGCAACAACCAACTGTTGGGAGCCCCGTCACTAGTAATAAATGATTCAACTGTCACCAAGTAAATGCTCCCTCCGTCTAAATCTCACTGTGACGCTCACTCCCCGAGCAGCAAAAGTTACGAGTAGGGCTACGGTATCATACAGTAACAGCGGGCTACAAGAACGGCTACTTTTCGCTCCATCCTCCCGTTCGATCTTCAATGACCCTGCTTCACAATGTCTTCACCACAGCATGGAGCTTATAAGCCGCGTACGAAGAAGCCCAAGGCCACCCGCTCCGTCTCATTTTCTCTGCCTGCGCTACCGTTCCCCTTAGCATCGTTTTTACACCCGCTTCGCTCGGCTTCGTCCCAATGGCTTGTTCTACCGGTATTACTTATGGTTTCGATTCTATTCCGATGGGCTGTTGGGTTGGGGCCTTATTCCGGTGGGTTCACCTGTGCCGTTTATCGGGGGTCTCTCTCTTTTTTTTTTAGAGCTGATAGAGGAAAATGTAGGAATGGCGGCACCACCGATGCACGGTGACTTTGAGGCTCAGAGACACTGGATGGAAGTCACGACGAACCTACCCGCAAAGGAATGGTACTGGCATGATTTGGAGTGGTGGGGATTGGATTATCCTCCCCTCACGGCTTACCATAGTTGGCTTCTTGGAGTGATGTGTGGATTTACTCTACTACGTTACCGGGCGCTATAAGGCTGACAAAAATGTGGTTTAGTGGTGGTGTGATTAATCCGGATTGGTTTGTGCTTTTCGCCTCCAGAGGATTGGACGATGTCGCATTGAAGACTTTCATGAGAGCTACTGTGCTAGCCTCCGAATTTTTGATCTATGTGCCGGCGGTGGTAATTTTTGTCCGAGCCTTTGGTAGGCAGGCGGACTTGAGCAAATATGATAAGGTATGATGATGGTAGGCATTTATTGAGAACTTCTGGGGGCTAATAGTGATAGGGAGTTGCGCTTGCGGCGATTCTGATGCAACCGGCTCTCATGATTATTGATCATGGACACTTTCAGTAAGTCGAGATTTTGGCTAAGCTTTTTGATATAGGTTTTCTAATATTCATGGCCCATCAATAGGTACAACTCGGTCATGCTCGGGCTTACTCTTCTCGCAGTTGATTGCTTCATTACCGAGCACATTTACTGGGGCTCCTTCTTTTTCGTCCTCTCCATATCCTTCAAGCAGATGGCGCTTTACTACGCACCAATTATCTTCGCCTACCTTCTCGGACTTTGCGTGCACCCCAACACCAACATTCCAAGACTCGTTCTTCTAGGAGCAACTGTCATCGTCAGTTTTGGTCTTGTGTTTGCACCACTAGTAGTTTTCGGAGGAAAGGAGCAGATTGCTCAATGTTTGTTCCGTGTATTTCCGTTTGCTAGAGGGCTCTGGGAAGACAAGGTTGCCAATTTCTGGTGCGCTGCCAATATACTTATCAAGTTCCGGGAAAGGTTTGATTCGGGAATGCTCCAAAAAGCTAGGTAAGACATACTCACCCCCCTCTTTAGTTTAACTAACAGTATTCCATAGTCTCATTGCGACATTTGTGGCGATCCTCCCACCCTGCTCGATACTGTTCTTTAATCCTCAAAAGAGGCTACTGCCCTTGGGACTTGCAGCATGTGCATGGGGCTTTTTTATGTTTTCGTTCCAGGTTCATGAGAAGAGTGTCTTATTGCCATTGGTGCCTACCACCCTCGTGCTTGCCGGGAACTTGGACAAGAATACTGTTTCCTGGGTTTCGTGGATGAACAATGTTGCTATGTTTAGGTAGGTCCTACTCCTACCAATTTCCCTATGCGTATTTGTTGACTAACCCATATAAATAGCATGTGGCCACTCCTCCGCCGTGACGGGCTTCAACTACAGTACACTGTCCTCACATTGCTCTACGCCTGGCTAATGGGTACCTTTGAGCATCTCCCAAAACACTGGTTTGGAAAGTTAGTCCACGTGGGAAGCTACGTTTCCATCCTAGTCACCCACTTTGCGGAAGCCTTTTTGCTCAAAGGCCTTCTACAGGAATACCCAGACCTGTGGGTGGTGGCCAACGTTGAAATATCTTTCGGCTGTTTCACGGTGGCTTGGATATGGGTTCTCTGGCGACTCTGGAAAGAGAGTAGAAAGGGAAGGAAGAAGCCAAAGCGGGAGTAGGGGAGTAAAAATCATAAATATATTCGTGGCTTCCCCTCCTAATACACTTTAATGTAGATTTGTTTGCATTGGAGCCGGCTTATGAAATAAACAAATAAATAGATGAGTTGAACCAATAATACCCACTTCTTACTACCATTTGTTTGGGGGAGGTTCTCGTGAAGAAGTAGTTTATATATCGTATCGTATAGTGCACACTGTCCTCGCTCCTCACCCCAATAATAATAATAAAATATAATGTCCCATTGTACAATCTATGTGTATACCACTCACCCCCTCTATCTAAACATTGAACCCGAACCCGGCCATGCAAGCTTTGTACGCGGCGACCTTGTCGAGACACTTTGTCTCCGCATCCTCCGTGAGAAGGAAGCATTCATCACGCGAGGCTTTTTCGTTTTTGCATACACCTTTGTTGAGTGAATGTTAACTTTAATCAAGTGCCTCATCAGGATGGAGTGGTCTTGGATCGAGTTGGGTACGCACAGCAGGGCTTTGGACCCGAAGTGGTGGGCTTTAAGACGACGTTTTCTGGTGGGGGGCTGTTAGCTAGAAGCATCAATTGGGAGGAGTTGAGATGGGAGAGGCGAACCTGGTTCTAGGGGGGTTTGTGCTGTGGGTGAGAGGTGAGTTGGTAAAAGTTGGTATTGGGGGATCGGAGGGAGGAAGCTTACCTGTCCTGGACACTGTGGGAATGTTAGACATTTTGAAATATAGAGGTTGGATAGGCGGTAGTGGTAGCAGTGGTGGAAGAGAGGAAGATTGGTTGGTGTTATCAATGAAAAGAGCTCGCCGAGGGAAGCGGTACTTTACGAAGTACACTCCCGGTATTAGTGCGCCTTCGGGGAATTGCCCGGTCGCACCCGTTAGCACCTCAAAGCTCGGACATGTACTATTCCGTAGTACCGGTATGGACTTCGGGATAACCCATGAGCGAAAGCTTATAAATCCCCCCTCCTGCCTCCAACCACTCTTCCACTCCACCCAACCCACAAACCCCACTACAGACTGGCGGAGAGAAAAGAGAAAAAAATGGGCAATGCAAAATCCACCCCCCTCAACAATCCCTACACCGGCCTCCCACGGGTCCCCACCACTAACCCATCCGCCTCTACCGACAAGCGGGACAGAACACTAACCCACCTCCTCCGACTAAACCACCACAACTACTCCCTTCTCTACTCGCAGCTGCGCTTCCACAACCACCTCCCGCACGCGCTGGGCAGCGCCTACCTCCTTGACGCACCCAGCGAACACCTAACGAGACTCTACGAAAGCGAGAGCAAACCGCTGGAACCCTGGCCGCCCACGACCCCCGGTGAGATAGCACGGCACGACTGGCGCGAGCACATCTCCGACCGCCATTACCAGCGCTCATACCTAGACTTTTTCGAGGACGAATTGGTCCGGCTCGGGTACGATTGGAGAAGGGTTGTGGCGGAGTACTTATTCCAGGGACCAGAGCCGTTGATTTTCGGAGGAATAGGTGGGTTGGGTCACCCGCTCATACATTTGGGATATGCTTTCGAGTTGGGGAGCAAAGAGGTGGGAATGGAAGCCCTCTCACTGTTCGCTACGAATTACGACTTTTTGCACGGGTATGTTGATTCGGAGTTCCCTACTGCTGCCGGTGGGGTGCCGGTTGAATCCCCCTCGCCCCCGTTGCCCACCGTCGTGCACGACTGCCAGGACCCGCTGGAGATAATCCATAGGATTAGAATGGATACCGCGTTCCATGGCATATTCCCGCACGCCGGTGCTGAGAATATTCCCCTTCTGTTCGAGCTCCGGGAGAAGGAGGTACTCGCTTATTACCGCCAATTCAAAATCGAATCGCCCGCTACCGCGCATAAATCTTTGAACCACCTCGCGGCGTTGCTACTCACTTGCTCACATGATCCCGGACGCCCAGAGTTTGACTTCTTTGTCGTTCACTTGACCACCGTTTCCTACGCTATTCGCATCTTGCTGCCCGAGGTGCCCGAGGAGTATGCCCGTCCACTGGTCAAGATGCAGTGGCTGTTTACCATTGTGGTTTACCTGATCCAGTTGAGTAGGGAGGTGCGCCCGGAGTTACTGGATGGGGTGGAGCTCCGTGGGAGGGGGTGGGGGGATGTGGTGCGCAAGGCGCTGGATAGGGATGAGGGAAGTGGGAGTGGGGGGGAGATGGAGGACGCGCATTATTTGAAAGGTATGCTCTTTTTTTTTTTTGTTTATCCCTATTTTCAATTTTTCCCTCTCTTGGGACACTTGGAGGAGGGGCTAATTGTTTGGGGGGGGGGTAGCGGTGAGGGCTTTGAAGGACTCGGCACAGCTGTGGAAGGACCAGGAGGAGTTTTACTTGACGGCTGCTGTCAAGTTTGCTTGGGAATTTGAGAAGTGGTCTTTTGGGGAGTGAGGGGTATCATCAACTTTGGCTATCACACACATGCTGGTCTTTCTGTTCGCTATTGGGCATTATTATGGCGTTTTGTGGTGGAAATGATATTCCTCCTTGAAAATTGCTTGACACTCTTTCACATCACAAGAACTCACTCGTCCTCTAATGAAACAAGGGAAAAAAGGGGAAAAAAAAGGGTTCTATCATAAAGAAAATAATATTCTACAAGTGTAAATCTAAACATTCCTAACATACTCATAATCCCCCTGCTCCTCAGGCCGAGTGCCCTGAAACCTCTTACCAAGCACGCGGAACTTACTCAGGAAGGCATCAGTATCGACATACGCCCCCCTCAGCCACCTCTCCCCACTGTGGGCATCAAACTCCCTCCTGGCATGCAAAACCCTGCGGTTCGCGAAGACAGCACACACGCCCTCCCTCAGCGTGATATCGAACTGCGCTTTCGGATCACCGACGCGGCCCGCGAACATCTCCAGCGCGCGGGTGAACAGCCTGAACCTCCCCGGGAAGAGCGGGTCCGCGGGCGCGTCCTCAAACGCGGCCTGGAAGGGAGGGGAGTAGTTGACGTGCGCGATGCGCTTGTTGGTGCGGTAGTCCGTGTCGTCGAGGACCACGACGGGGTGCACGTTGTGGTAGTGGTGACCGTCGTTGTGATAGTGGTACGGGACCGGGTAGGTGAGTAGTGAATTCCAGAGCGAGTGGCTGGTCATTCGGACCACTGTCGCCGCGCGGAAGGAGTCGGCGAAGCAGGACTCACCGCCGGTGACTGTGTTCTTCAGGCAGTGGAGGAATTGCACGCCCGGCGGGGAGGAGAAGTACAGGAGGTCCATGTGTAGGCCCAGGTTCAGACTCGTGTAGGCTATGTTCTTGCTGTCGGGGAGGGACTTGACGTCCCAGGTTTTTCCGTAGAATGTGGTTTTCAGGGGCCCGATTCGCTGGGCGATTTTCTCCACGGAGGATTCCTCACTCGGCACGTTCTTCAGGAAGAACAGGCCATAAATCGAGAGGGCTTCAAGCGCCTTGTGCAATCCCTCGTCGTCCTCCGAAAAGTACTCTTCCCAGTCCAGCCATATCACGTCCTTCTCCATTACCTCCCGGTCCCACAGGACCACGCGCCTGTCATTGAACCGGTGCCGCACGATGTGCCGGTGATCTGAGTACCTTAGCAGGAACTCGGCGCTGTAGAGACTCGTGTGGTTTTCTCTTCGCGGATTCGTCACCGGGATGTCGGTTTCTGGATCCCAGGTTACCCGCAGCGCACCGTCCTCCAGCGTCATCGCCGCCAGGGGCCGGATGTCCTGTGGTATGTCACTAGTTTGGAAGAGCTTTTGCCGGGTGGAGGGGTCCACGCAGTGCGCGCAGGCACAGGCGTCCCGCAGGAAGATGTTGTCGAAGGCGTAGGGCATGCCATTTAGTGTGAGGTCTACACGTTTAGTTTTGGTGAGTCGTGCGCCTTTGGCTTTCGGATCACGGGCGATTGTGGTGCGGAGTTTTGGCTTCCTGGATTTGCTAGTGTTCTTGTAGGTGCCGCTGCTGGGAGCGATGGTGGTGGTGGAGGTAGCGCTGGAGGCTGAATATTGGCGGGTTGGGAGGAAGAAGATTGGCGAGGTGGTTGCGGTGATGCTTGGTGGGGGGAGTATTTGCGGTGTACGGCCGAGTCGGTGGGGGAGGAGCGATTGTGGTATTCGCCGAAAGGGTTTCATAGCCGATTGTCTATCCGAGGGTGGGGGATCGGTGAAAGGGGAGATTGGGATAGGGTGGTGTTAGGATTCCTATTCGGAGAGGCTTTTTTTTTAATTTTATTGTTTCTTGAAGTTGTGTGAACAAGAGGAACACCTTTTCGTATCAAGTCTACGAGTATGAGTGAGAGGGTAAAGTACACTTTGCCCTTTTCGGAGAAATGGGGATCTTCTAAACACCCCTGGCGATCACGTGTAACCAATAGTCCATCAGCCCCATTGCAGAATAAACCTCAATTAAATGGCAGAGAATATCATAGTTTCTTGCAATTCCATACCGGTACTCTTACATCGGTTCGAGAACAGCTGACAAGTTAACTGCCTGGCTGACCGGGCATTTACTCTGATCCTGCTCGGAGGGAGGGAGGGAAGTTTGCGCGGTAGACTAGAACTAATATTGTGACACTACAAGTAACGGCAAACGGCCGTGCGGTTAGGTCCTGCCATTTTTTTTTGAACTTCCTTATCTCCAAATCGCTCATCCGATACCAGGACGGTGCTCCAAAGTGCCCCAAAGCGGTTGTTTGGAGTCATAAAGAGATTCCCAAAGTCGGGTTTTGCTCCCTGGACCAGACGTTCTGTATGCCCACAGGCACCCCCACAAAACCTGCTTGTACGGTATACCGGTAATCTTTTTTACGCCAGGGCGACATAACAATACGCAGAATGTTTTCACCAAGCCGGATACCCCCGTAAAACCCGCAAAGAATTTGTATGGTCTCGTTTACACCGAGCAGACATGATATAGAATATTTTCACCAAGTAAAAATTAGTAAACGAAGCGTCGAGGTCCTGATTCTTGGTGTTGATTATAGTCAAGTAGATTTGTCGTTGTAAACTCACCTTCTCTAATAGTGCTACCCTTTGAGTAGTAGTCTATACCAGTGTTCGCAACGGGCCAGACCGGACTGGGAGGACTGGAGGCCGTCTGCACTAGGCCAGGCCGTCCAGATGTGAGGCCATGGACTAGGCAGTCTCATCAAGGGGAATGGCCGGACTGGACTGGCCTGAGAATGGCCTACTGCAATTTGTAGTGGCTTGATAACAGGATATTGTGAGCATGGTATTTCAAAAAGGTTCACTTTTCGGGTATTCGACCTTCATATATTTTTTAGGAAAACTGCGAGTTGAATGAAGCTGAATTCAAGATGAGAAAAGAAAAACCCTAGCACCATAACAGTTTCCCCTGTCCCATCCTGCCTGCCTGCTTGCCTTCCTGCCTCTTCCAGCCTACTACCCTGTGCCTGGCCCCTCCAGCCAGAAGTCTCCTGTGTGCCCAGTCCACTGTAAAGCCCGAACCTACAACTCCAAGCCCGTATTCCTAACTCCCTAATCACTCTTCCTTGATCGGTAACTGTAGCTCATCCGAGTCTCCAGATGGTTCAAGAGGGAGTCGGCATCCAACACATTGGACCTCCATGTTCAACGCATGTTTTTCAAGTTCTTCTAAGGTAGAGGTGATTGTGGACGCATCTTGGAACGGGATAAGACATTCTAGAGCCCATGACTTTTGACACTCTCCAGCCTCAATAATGTCTTCTCCAAGTTGGTTTCTGTTAGGCAGAGATGATAGGAATAGACTCAGAATTGTCTAGGCCAATCAAGATTTGTTTTGTAGACGGAGATTTGTCTAGGAAGGCTCAAAGGGTTACTTGTTTCGTTTATAACTACTAGGAGTAAGGTAAAGTAAAGTAGAATCATAAAAACAATATTATATTACTAAGGTCTCTTCTCTATTGCTTGATGATGTCTAAAAGCTTGAGAGGCACTTTGATATTTATATTCTGTGTCTGAATGTTCATGGACTACATCTATTTCTCATACAAATTATGTACTTCTTTAACTATAACTCATAATGTAGGGTATTCTCCTGAAGTGCGAACATTAGGAGATTCTGAAAACTATCACACACTTTTTGGTAATTACTATTTTGCTAATTGGGAACTGTACTGTTCCCAATAGTAATATTTTAACCTCCGAGTTATTAGACTTATGGTCTAGTTCTCAAGTTAAACTGAGTTGGCCCTAATTGTTTCCCCTATTGATGAAATGATCAGTTTCATCTATCGGTGGTATCTGCAGGAGTAGTTGTAGTTGTAATCTTCGCTGATTAATGACTTTAAACCTTCATAACTCCCGATCCAACTGACATATATCCTCCAGATAACTTCTAATTAATTTGCAAGAAGCCATTGTACTGGATTAGCAGATAATCTTGCAGTTGACAACTCCTGGTTACTTTGGGTAACAGGACTTTAGTTGCTGTTTAGTATCAGGGATAATTCCCACAACTACAATGCATCTCTGGATTTAGTTGTAATAATCTGTGAAGTTCTTTGTTAGGAATACTGAGATCCGATACTCAGAAGTCACCCTAAGTAGGGTAACCTTACCTGGAATTGGAATCTCCGGTCTCCAACACCCCCCTCTGGCCCCCTTATGGGGCCCGCATGTTATCATACATATTAAGCTCAGTTGCGTCCTGTGACTATAATACCACATAATTGAAGGTATCAGAATAATACCGTATAGGTCGCCACCATCCATCCGACCGGATCCTGTTCGCAGGATATATGAGAGGGGACCTTCGGCTAGGTCAGAGAAGTAGAATGGAGTAAGTCCGTCAACTACTAAGAAAATATTACTAGGCTTCAAAGATGTAATATCTTTGGTATGGGCCGTAGGTAACAGGACGTTTCCGCACAAAGAGATGGTATTGAATGGTAAAGAATCTCAGCAAGAGACCACTACATTCACACCCATCCTACAATATCTAATAAAGTCTAGAACTCTGAAAAATACTACTATAGATGTTATTAGACTTCACAAAGTATTGCAACCTGGTGTAATGATCCCTCCTTGGATAGTTAGTTCTTGGCGATGGGAAACGATACTTCTCTTCTCCTTCTTTTTCTTTCTTCATCTTACAATAGCACTAGGCCTATGCCTACATTACCGATAGTACAAGACCTCTATCTTCTATTGAGAACGCCTATTGTAAGCTTTCTCTAACTCTTCTTCATGATGAACTTTCCTTGGCATAATGATAATGTTACAATAAAGATAAAGATCGTAAGGAGTTTTATATTTGTTAAAGTAATAAGTAGGAAAAGTACTTAGAACAAAGAGTGAAGAACCTATCCTCCTTGGCCGCATCGGCCTCCTTATATAGTGTTCTTCCTACCTGTAGTCATGTGACCCAAAGTGGTCACATGTGCAAAACAAAATCATAACAAACTAGTCAGGTGACCAAGATGGTCACATGCTCAAAACCCATGACCTCATAGCAAGGTTATGTGCAAAAACTCATAAACCAATCATAACACAATAAACAAATCATATGACTCGATTGAGTCATATGCGTGAAAC